GAGCAAACAAAACACATCATTCATAACAGAAACAGCTCGCAATAGCCACAGGAACGTTGCTGCAAGACAGGCATATGTAACGACGACTTAGCGCTCTTAAACGCGTGTGTCATTAAATACAGTCCTCCTGACAACAGGCCAGTGAAAAATCTAACAATCTACAGCAAAACCATCAATTATTATGGGCGTTATAACATACGTGTGCAGCTGGACGAAACATACACGTCGAACCCCCCCAGACGATTTAAATCCCTGACGAAACATACACGACGAACCACGGCAACGGGTTAAGGAAGCATCATTGGACTGTCTAAATTTGGTAAAGGTACACAGTTCTTTGGGGGCATGCAGCAGCACAGCTGGATGAGGCACTATGCTATGAGCTGGAAGGTCATAGGTTCCATTCCCGATGAGGCCACTGTATTTTTCAATTAACCTAATTCTTCCAGCCGCACTATGGCCCTGGGGTTAGCTCACCCTCCAACAGAAATGAGTACAAGGAATCTTCCTGGGGGTAAAGGGTAGCCGGCATGTAAGACTGACAATCTCACTGCCATCTGTGAGCCGATTGTCTAGAAAATGTGGGAGCCTTGACGTCCCACAACTCTATGGGCCTCCACAGCCTGTTACAGGGATAGCTTTACTTTTTACACAGTTCATCATTATGACCACAAGATGTTGCTTTATCTTCAATTGAACGATATACTAATGTGAACAAAATTCGAATCAATCACATCAACTATAGGAGTCCTAATGGAAACACATTATGCATAATTTTTTTAATGTTATTTGAGCATCTCATAGAACCAGAATATTAAAGTCACATCTTTCAAGCAATGTACATAATCACATGGAGCAACATAAAACTTACTTACTCTGAGCTATTCTGACTGTTGCATGTAATGACATAAAATATGCATTTCTTTTCACTTAATGATCATGCATTTTTCAGAATGCAGATCACATTCCAAGGTGGCTCTTGTTCAGAAAAACACAGCACATCACTAGTATAAAGATTTTAAATTACTGTTCTCTGTTCTACCCTGAAAATTGAGGCAACAGGTTCCTCTGAAGTATTTGTGCCCATCTACAAAACTGTGTGCCACTGTCCCCCAGATGACCATAATCTTGCCTGTTACAGAAGTGTGGTCTTAACTGGCACAAGAAATTTGCTGTCTTCTGGGGCATGATGTCATATATCCTGGTAGAATGCAATCAATGTTTCAGGGGAACATGCTGGGAACAGCAACCATGGTACCAGGCATTCCCCTTACTAACTCATGTGCATATGCTAACCAGCAGCCAGCTACATACCCTTTTACATCACTGATGCAGGCCATAGGCAATCTGAATTTCTTAACATATAATTACTTCTTTAGAAAAGCAATTCTGGCCAAATTTGTTCTTGTTTTACATTCTGTATATAAAAAAATTAATATTTATTCCAAATTTCCAAAAGAATGAATTTGTTGTCCATACAGTGAATTTCAAGCTCATATTTTATAATTTCCATTGGGCCCAGATTCCATAACCCAAACAGCCATACCACAGAGAATACTGTACAACACTTAGCCAAAAAGCCCGCGGTACCACAACCATTAGCAACATAAATGCTGTAAGCCCAATTAAAAAGTGGTCAGATCAAACAGAATTTAAATACAGCAGACCTACAAGATGATGACTGCTGGCTCCATTAACACTGTCGCAGTAATATACCTTTGCGCCAACAAGTTGGGATGGCACATGGCTGTGAACTCCTCTGCTTGCCTGCAAAGCACCATGGCTGCGCTTTACCTCCGACATTTCGACAGTAGTTGTGACCTGTGAGGGTGGCATTCCTCTCCCTTTCTGACACTCTGTAGCTGAGCTTGGGGATGATCAGGGGGTCATCCCAATGAAGACATGGTAAGCCATTGGCTGTCATGTTAGCAGAACCCTGATAGTTGTACTTGTCTCCATCCATGCAACCTGAAGCAATGAGGTTGCGCTTATGGTTTGTTTGGTTAAAAAAAATGAGGTTCTGGCACTAGAATCATGGAAGTAAAACCATTCCATCTTGAATGAAGGAAACACTCCTTGCAATATTTAGGTTATGTTACTTTTCAATTCCACTGTTTCAGCATGTTTACATACAGATTTTAAAATTAACACAGTAGAAAGGTTGGTGTCTGTCTGCTTGTCTGTCATTCCACGCACTTAGTCTCTAAAACCACTTAACAAATTTCAATAAAGTACCAGCAGATGTACACTGTTAGTTACCAACTGCATTTAATTTTAATCCATTCCCATTCAGTGTAATCCCTAACTTACATGATGTCCAGATTTCAATCTATTTTTTCAAAAATGCTCCATACAAGAAATTAGTAGTTATGTGACAGAATATAGAGCTTACACAATGGTCTACAGCTTCTATTTGAAACAACTGACAATATATTGAATATTCACAGATATATAAAGCAAATAATGTCTGACTCTGTGTAGATGTGTGATCAGTTTTGCATCATTACATTTACATTTCAATAAATGAATGTAAGGTTAATAAGATACATAATATAAGCAGCATCACATTTGGAAAATATGCCCTTAAAGTTTGCATTTCCTTTCCTTATTTGATTATGAGCAGTCATGAGCAACCACAGATCCTGAGCTGACTTTAAACTCATTACTCAACCAATTTTAGGGGCACTTCCCCACCACTTTAACCAACTTCAAATCAACTCATGAAATACAAAGAGTGATGCTGCCTGGTCTGGATGGTTTCAAATTGGTTTTGTGGGACAAAAGGGAAATGCATGTCACTGACAGTCAGAGCGGTCAGCACATAAGGCTGACAACCTCGCCACCATCTGTGAACCAATTGTCTAGAAAACATGGAAACCTTGATGTCTCACAACCCTATGGGCCTCCAAGGCCTGTTACAGGGACAGCTTTACCTTTTTTTAAGAGGTGCTACAGTACTGTTGATGTGTGGGCTTCCTTATTTCATGGAAATACCTTGCAAAGCCACCTATGCAAGAACTGAAGATTCATAAATTGCTAGGCATCTTACAGAAAACACCAAGATCCAGCAAACAAGGGCTAGACTAGCACATTAGAAACATGGCAGCTGAAGGGGTACCAACACTTTTCAACTGAATGGAGTATGAAGCATCACTGCAGGATGATTTGTGAAAGATGAATTGGAAAGGACAAGGAAAGAACCAGTCATGGCTATGAATCTGGAAGGAAAGAATAAGAAATTCAGTGAGGACAGTCAGACTCTACCTGTCCTGCCAAGTACAGAGTAAGGGCGAGATCACCTTTCCTGCTGACTCACCAATATCATCCAGAGGTCTCTCACAGATATAAGGGTGGCTATGTGTAACACTGCAATCCTCAGTGTCCCAGAAGAAATAGTTGGCAGCACACATCCTGACAGTTGGGTGATCATGTGCATCAGCATCCATGTCAGTAATGGCATCACTTGTGTAATATGCATGTTCACATGGGAAGACACGCTTGGCAACAATACAGATCGGTCTATGGCCTGTCTTAGGTGGGCTCCTCACATCATGCGCCCAACCTGATTAGGAGACATTCAAATCTCACTACACATATCTTCTACTTATATACCTTACATTATATAAATTGAATTGGCTAAACACACACTTCAAAGTCTCAGTTAGTTTCCTTTTAACAGCAGGCCTATTCCAGATCAGTAGCATTTAAGATGACTTCTTCAACGCTTAACAATCATATTTTGATATCAAAAATTCTGCTTTGCATCTTATTTTCAAATCCTTCATTTATTTAACACTTTCAAAGACTTTACACAGACATGTACATTACAACACAGATGGTCAACGGTCAGGATTATGAAACGTCCTGTTCCTGTCCTACGATACAAATAATTACATCAGTAGAATCCGCTGTCTTTTTGCTACATTTTAAAAAACTAGCTGCAAATATTTACATCAGACAGTTCTAATTTTCTTTGTGGTGGGGCAGGAGCAATGTTTGTCTGAGAGGTTGTTATATGATATTCTATGTTTCCATAAATAAGACACACTCAAAATTGACAAAAGTAACAATAAATAAAATACTAATATCATTTCAATCTGTAATAATTTTAATAAATTTAAAAGCACATTGTCTTAAAGCTGCACCAAAATTTGATGGTACAACATTTCTCAAATACATCCAAAACTAAAATATGGTCTGCCAACTATGTACAAAAACACCTGACTGTGAAAGCACCAAAATAAGACTGACTGTAATTAAATATGATCTGCTAGGACATACCTGGCCACCATTTTGTAAATACGAATGGTTCAGTAGACCCTTCCCAGATCCACAGCGGACGATGAAACACAGACACACCTACACCTGCAGTAAGAACGTTGGTTATATTGGGCTGTAACTGCAGCAGCCATTCGGATATGAAGTCACTCTCGACCTGCAAGAATAGGGCAAAGAGATGGTGTTTACTTCTTTTCATGTCTGTGTACTGGCTGGCTGTCTTCACAGTTCCACTGTCATGAAGGTTTTAAGGGCTATTTGATGATGTTGTCATAGCTAGCATACATAGCATAAAATGATAGGATGACAAATGAATGATGAATTGGAAAGGATTTAGAAGGAAGTGGTCATGGCCTAATTGGGGGACTATCTTGGCATTTGCCTCACAGGACTAAGAAAAATCACAATAACTTCAATCAGAATATTTGTTGTACTGGCCAAGATTTGAACCAAGCATCTCCTGAGTATGGGTCTAGAGCAGGCATGTAAACTCAACTTGTACAGAGGGCCACCTCAGCCCCATAAATAACAGTCCAGGGCCACACTTCAAAATAGAAATATACATTAGATTTTGATACAAGGAAATTTAATTCTATTTATTATTTAGGAATAACTTCAATATAATTACCTAAAGTCACATATCTTACAGTTTTAAAAAGCAAGAGAATGCCATTTTTGACAAGTATCATACAGCTTCTCAATATGTAAAAAGAGAGATTACACAAGAAATTATGTTAGAAATAGCAAAACATTGAATTTCCTGCAGCCTGCTAATTTATATCTGTGTGAGACTTCTTGTCTTCTGGTCTGTTGGAAAACTGTCTTCACAAAAAATATTTCTACTAAAATTTTAATGTCGATTTTAATGTCAATTAGCTCTAAAAGTTGAGGGGCCGCACTTTGTGGCTATGGGGGCTGCATGTTTTACACGGCTGGTCTAGAGCATTAATACTATGCCAAACTGCTTAATCATAATCATAATAATTCATTTTCAAAAATACATAGTCACATGAGAGTGAATACAATATGTTTTTAAGAAGAAATTATGTATTAATGGAGACAGGTTTGTGAAGCTGTAAACTGAGTAGAATTGGTTCAAGGTGGTGTCCATTGGTGAACATTTGTAAGCATAATGATCAACTGGTTCAATAAAGGCAGGATTTCTGTACTAGCTGAACATCAACTGCTCGAGGAAGACACTGTACCATTGAGTTACTTGGTTCAACTTTGTCTGATTCAGTTTGTGTAGGAAAGAAATATAACCTCTCACCTGGGAAGTGATATCGAGGAGTTGTGACCCACGGGCCTGGCAGTCTCTAAGCGCCTCCCCATGAGTGAAGCCCTCAAGAGCATGGCGTACACTGGGAACCACCAAACTGTAGCATTTCTTGCCATGGTTCACTTCGCCAAGTTGGCACTGTGACACCCAGTTCTTGTAGCAACGGACACCAACCGCATCTCTGGCTATCACACACTGGTGTCCGGGCTCCAGACGGCATGCAGACAGAGCAGCCTCACTACCGCTGCAAGCTACTTCACTTACACTGACTCGTAGTGTGTCTTCAGTGGGCTGCAGAGGTCGGCCCTGCCATGATAATTCTGCTCCCCTTTCATATGGCAACACAAGAGAATTTGAGATTATCACAGCAGCAACTATAAGGAGAATGTAGTTCAACAGAAATCTGCTCACACTTTGGAGGAATACATCGCCCCCATCTTCAGGGTTGAAGAGTATGCCAAAACAAGAAACCAAAAATGCTTCTTGATTGGCTTACTCTTTGATGCTGAGGATGGAGGTGATACAGTCCTCTGAAATGTCAGTGGGCTTCTGCCAAGCTACATGGCATTGCAACCCAGAACATCATACGCTTCAATTTAAGAAAAAATACATACTATTGTAATTATAATTTCATGATACTTTCCAAAAGTAAGTTATATTTTATTATAAAGAAGAAAGTGTCACTAGAAACATCAACACATTCCCTTCCTTGCAATTGTCCTACCTGTGTACCAAACTCTGACAAATTTTAGCAACTAATTCTTAGTGACATGTTTTCGTGGTCAGCACCCACAGGATAGAAGGCTGGGTAGGCCCCAGGGCCAGTATTGATGCTAGGAAGAAAAGAAAAATCTTGCCCTCGCTGGGAATTGAACCCCAGCTGTCCAGCCTGTAGCCCACTGCTATATCGAGTTACCCCAATGAGGATCTTAGTAAAATACAAGGTGGTTCAAATATGACCGGAACTGATTTTTTTAAACCATAATTGCCAGACACTTACTTGCACATGTCAGTCTTCAACGTACTCCCCTCCAGAGTCAACACATTTTTTTCCAACATTCTGGAAGCATCTTCATGCCCCTTCCAAAAAATGCTTGTGGTTGGCGGCATATCCACTCCCGAACATTCTGGATGACGGCAGCATCGTCCACAAACCACATGCCTTGCAAGTCTGACTTGAGCCTTCTGAACAGGTAGAAATCACTTGGGACCAAATCAGGACTGTACAGTGGATGTGTCAGAAGGTTCCATTTCAATTTCTGGAGGGTTTCCATTGTTGTTTTGGATGTATGGGGGCGTACATTGTCTTGAAGGAAGGCTACCTGCTTTCCACCTGTCTTCCGTTTGGATCGGATCTTTTCCTTCACGTCTGTTGCCAGGAGGTCTGATTAATAAGCTGCATTGACTGTTCTGGCATCTGTCAGAAAGTCTACATGTATAACCCTCTGCCAGTCCAAGAACGTTGCCATCACTTTTCCTGCCGAACGGCTCCTCCACAGTCTCTTGGGTTTGGGAGAACTGGTATGCCGCCACTCATGTGATGACTGCTGGGAATCGGGAATGTAGTGCACCCATGTTTCATCGGTGGTCACTATAGGCTTCAGCAATGCATCACCTTCGTCTTCAAACTGCTGTAGGAGACGACTGGCAGCTTGCATGCACACCCTTTCGTTCACGTCCATCAAAGTACATGGTACCCACCGTGCATTCACCTTGTGATAGTGCAGGTGGTACTTCACGATGTCTTCTACACTACCAACACTGATGGACAGCATTGCTCAAAGTTCCTTGATAGTGATGCACATATTCTCATGAATAAGCGCGTCTGCACAATCAATATTTGGCTTGGTGACAGATGTTCGCAGCCAACAATCATGCGGTACATTCTCCACGCGCTCTCTGCCCTCTCTGAAGCACTTACACCACTCAAACGCACGGGTCCATGAGAGACACTTTTCCCCATACTGTTGTTGGAGCCTGGTGGTGAATTTCAACAGACGGGACATTTCCTCCAATGAGAAATTTGATCACAATGTGCTGTTCCATGCTCCGCAGTACCTTCTGTTTGCTCATGACTCTAGCAACTCCCAAACAGGACTGAACAGGTACTAACCCAAACAGGTGGGAGGGTGAAGGTTGTGGCTTCACTCTCTCAAGTTTGTACAGCTGCTGCACAGTGCGGCTTGTTTACAAACAAATCAGTCCCAGTCATATTTGAACCACCTTGTAAAATTAGAATAACCTCTGCTAAAAACAGATGCTATGTCCTTTCATAAGACATACCATTGAAACATTTTTGTTCAGATGTGCCTTACAAACTAGTAGTATGATTGCATTCATGAAGACCTCATAGAACAAAAGACAGTAGATGGTAAGAAGAAATGTGGAGGAAGCAGGGAATAAACAAGTGGAAGGATGGAAGATAAAGCAGCACAGAAGTTAACACAATATGATGAGAGTGTGAAACTGATTCTGAAATATTCAGCCACTTGCAGAAAAAGACCCCCTTACCTCTCATACCCCAGCTGATGACACACAACTGTAGCCTCCACAATAGTCCAGGAATTTGTCTTGTCACAGATAAGACCCCAGCCAGGGCTTGGCCCCTGTACTTCAACATAGCCTTCCCAGGGTCCTGGTCCCCCTCGGAGCCTTATAACTTGGCCACTTGTATTTATCAGCAGGGACAGATTCTGGATAGCTCCTGACGGGGCAGGTGTTATGGTAGTGGTGGGGGTAGGAGTAGAAGGCGGAGGAGGAGGAGTGGTACTAGTCATAGTAGTAGTAGTTCTAGTAGTTGTAGCAGCAGTAGTAGTTGCAGCTGAAATCTTGGTTGACTGCGTGATAACATTCAGGAGCTGTGGGGACTTGTTTGGCTTATTTTGTGAAAATTTTCCAGGTGCTCTCTCTGTAACAGAATTTAATCACAAATATTATTAAACTATTAACATTTCTTGTCTGTGTGCCACCTGTTTCTTAATGCATTTTTAAAAAAGAAACTCTTTTCCATGAACAACACAAGTTTAACATGTAGAGTGTGGGAAGATGGGATTTTTAAATTTTCCAGTACTATAGGGCTGGCAGGTGGATACTAACTCCGGGGTAAACATGTTAAAATTTTTAAAAAATGCAACACGGGATTGGAGGTATGAATGCAGTGTTAGAACAGTGCAACACACAGACTATAACGTCTAATGTACCGTGTAGAACATGAGTTTTATGCAAGATTCAGATGCTCGAATATGGTTTCAGTGGGCAAGTTCAGAAGCCATTAGTAACCGAACGTCTTGTGATTTTCTCCTTCTCAGAAGTTGACAATCAGCATGAAGCAACAGTTTCACCTATTTGAATGTTGAATCACTAATATCCAGGCCACGCAGGAAAGAGCTGTGACACTGCTGTGAATGTACCTTTTTAAAACAAGTAACATATACCCCTGCCTTTCTGCAGACCCCTCAATATGAAAATAACTACCATCAGACATCTTACTTGAGCAATAATTGCAGAATACATAAAAACTAGTGGAAAATGCCTGTTTAAATTCAATGAAGAATCAGTTCTTTTGTGTTTACATTATCCCTTTCATACCTTTACCTCCTTCCCACCTTTCTTCCATATTCCTTCCCAACCATTTTCATTCTTCTCCCCCTTCCATCCTAAGTCTGATCTGTGTTACATTAAGACAGTGAATTAAGTTACAGCTGTATCCTTCAGACAGCACCATTTCAATTTCAAACACAGAGCTGTCATCTGTGTACATAAATGAGAACTACATGTTTATTAAAAGTGTAACACATACATAATTAGGTAACACATATATGAGGTATGACAATAAAGTTCACGAACTCGCCACCGTGTGCTTGCTGTGGCAGCAGTCGACAGAAATCTTAGTATGATTTGATGACGTTCGCATATCAGCGTTTCACAGCTGTGTTGTTGTTGTTGTTGATCTGTGGTACTCTCTTTCTGAGTGGCATCTATTAATGTCTGAGTGTGTTTCAGTGTGCCGTTGCAAGAATGTTGGAATAAACATTAAATTTTGTGTTAAACTTGGCAAGAGTGGAAGTGAAATCAGAGAGATGTTAGTTCAACTTTACAGGGAGAGTGCTATAAAGAAAGCAGCAGTTTACAAGTGGGTCACACGTTTTTCTGAGGGAAGAGGAAGTGTCACTGACAAAGAGAGATCAGGACGACCAGCAACAAGCAGAACTGAAGAAAACATTGCAAAGGTTCATCAAATTCTGAGTGTAAATCATCAGCTGACTGTCAGGAGCATAGCAGAGCAACCGGACATCGACCGAGAAAACAGTTAGGGAAATCTTAACTGAAGATCTTGACATGAGGAAGGTGTGTGCAAAAATGGTCCCAAAGGACCTGCTTACACGGCATTGTCTGTGAGGGAGATTTTAGCTATTAAACAAATAACTGTGCTGGAACACCCTCCCTATTCACCGGATCTAGCCCCCAACGACTTTTTCCTGTTCCCAAAGATAACTTAAATATTGAAAGGATGGCATTTTGATGACATCGATAACATCAGGAATAATATGACAGCAGCTCTGAAGGTCATCCCACAAAACCAGTTCCAAAATTGTTTTGAAGGGTGGATTAGGCGGTGGCATCAGTGCATGGCTTCCAAAAAGGAGTACTTTGAAGGAAACTACAGTGATATTCAGCAATGAGGTATGTAGCAATTTTACCACAAAGAGTTCGCGAACTTTACTGTCAGACCACATACACAGGCACAAAATATCCTACTTACAGTACAGATACAAATTTATCTATTTCTGGAGGCACTCACCCTGAGAACCTGAAGCTGACAAAGTGCAAGTCACTCTATAAGGGAAGTCACACTGCAAAGTCTGGGGGTTGAACAAGGTGCCTGGTCCGCACTGCTGACTATGAGCCGTGCCCTTCCAACAGTTGAGGAACTTGCTGCAGTCTGTCGGATGGGGGGCAAGCCCTGTCCCTCCCTCCATGGGGCAGTCTGACTTTCTGGTCTGTGCTTGTACAGGAGATGGTGTATGTGTGGTGGATAATGCCGGCTCCAGCAATTGATTCTTCCCCTCCACATGCCTCTCAACTGGAAGTAACAACACATTTCCTTCCTTGTTCATCATTTCAGTTCCTTCAAAGCACACCTCTGTTTCTTTCATCAGGTGAAAGGGTATAATGAGGAGTCCATTAGGTCTCTCAGCACAATTAGTCTGGTCATGTTTGACACCCACTGTACCAAATGGAGCATCCCTCATTTGCTCCTGTGACCTGATGAAGGAAACAAATCTAACCTCTGAAATGTTATGATTTGCAAGAACTGGGATGATGGACAATGTTAAATAATAACAGAAAAAAAGACTGTTATATTCCACAGTAGAAAATCTTCAGGCTTAAATTATAAGTCTTAATTTATTCAACAATGCTTCCTCTACTGCATAGGTTATATAGCATTCTGGGGGAGGATTGTTAACAGTTCAGAATCATATATAAAGATAAACAAGAAAATTACATTACTTTTAGAGAAAGTCATGTGATTCATGTTTTCATACTGTATCACCGATTCTTTTTATACAGAGACCTAACTTCACATACATCCCAGTGACACTGTACAAAAACATGTTTCTTCTCCCAACTGATAAAATGAAAAGGTTAATAACAATTTATCATAACAACAATAATACAATTATTTTTAAAGTACTGAGATGGGAAACAAATGTTCAGTTCTAGGACTTAGTGTAATTTTTCTGGTGTAATCTAAGACTGCACAACAGTCCATGAAAATGGAACACAGTTCCATTTTCATGATGTGCAAAATAAAAATGGTTCACTCCATACCTGTACTGTCCATCTCTATGTTGTTCCACTGTTCTTCATCTGGTGAACTTTGCAAGCATTTAACCTTGTTTGGAAAGTCACACTCCAGAGTTTCAGGGTTGAAGAGGGTCCCTGGTGCACAGAACTGGACAAGGCCTCGTCCCTTCCAGCAGTTGAGAAACTGTCTACAGTCAGGTCGATACACAAACTGTCCTGTACCTCCAGGAGGACACTTCGTTGAACCACTATAATCAACCCCACAGAAATCTGTTCATTTTCAAATGTTTCAAAATGTCAGCATCTGAGAACAGCAATAACAAATGGAAATCGCATTTTTATTTTTTATTATTATTATTTAATTACATTCCATTAATCCATACAAGGTCAAATGAGCTATAGGATATAGAAACTGTCATTATAAACATAAAACTATAGCATAACAGTAAATCTCATATACATGTCATAAATCTTACAGTAGCCATCTGAAACAATTCTGCCTCCCGGAATGTGACATTGTGTAGTGTGCTACATAGGTACAGACATGTTGTTTCCATCTTCATGGTGGAAGAACTCTGATGACAGAGGCAACATTTATGAAGACTACTTTACTCCCCGTATATGTCTTGTACTAAAATTATGCACTTAATTTTCATTATACTGGTGAAATTTCTACAAATTTTAGACCATGTAGTTTATTCCTCAACCATATGGAAAATTAAGTAGTCAATTTCCTTTAGAGTTCTAAAAATTGTACATAGGTTTGCATAAATTTTCTATAAATATAGGAACCACCTCCAAAAACTACAAGACAGAATAAAAAACACATACCACAGGTGAGAAATTTATTCCTTCTTTAACTTTATTCATCCTGGTCCATCGCACTAATTAAATATTGTAGAATGATTTGACAACACCCTCCAGTGTGACTCAAATGTATATTCATATGAATGCCTTTACATGTTTTGGTCAGTACTGACCATCCTCAGAAGGCATAACAACATGTTGAGGAAACTACTATTACACTGGTCACAGTACATCAAGTTGAATCAAAGTTTTATATAAGAATTTTAATTAGGGTAAAATGTGGTTCAGTTTTAACTCAACAGACAACAAGCCATGAGGGCCCATAGAGTTGTGAGACGTCAAGGTTCCTACATTTTCTAGAGAATTTGCTCAGAGATGGTGGGTGAGGTTGTCAGCCTTATGCATCGGTCACCCTTTATACCCCAGGAAGATCCCTAGTACTCATTTCTGTTAGAGGTTGAGTCAACCCCAGGATGTAGTGCAGCTGGAAGGATTAGGTCAACTGAAAAATCCAATGACCTCATCAGGAATTGAACCTGTGACCTTCCAGCTTCTAGCATTAGTGCCTTAACAAACTACACTTCCATGTGCCCCCCCAAAAAAGGGAAAGAAAAAATTAATTACTATGTAATTTTTAGTGGGTCATGCCCTGGTAGTGATACAGAAGCAAGTAAATATAACATGGCACTGGATACAAATTTCAGATCCAATGGCCACTCTTCAGCAATATGAGAAATGAGCTAAGATTACTGTCTTCTGGGGAGTGACACCCTGTAGTTTAGCGAACCAGTACCAAGTGCTGAAGAAACAGGGCACCTCCAGCTCATAGGCAGACAAAAGTGGCCACACATTACTCCAAAACGCTGGTATCCATCTGCCACTACATTGCATCAATTCCCAAAAGTCTGTATTCTTAATATTCACTGCCATGAGAGCCTAAAATCTAGATAATAAACTGGACCAGAATCCTGAGGGCCTTACAAATTTCCAATCCTATGGCTTCTCCAAATATAATGATATGCTTACAATGCTGAGACTGAAGATACGTCTGTGTGTACCGGTGACCGTGGGTAGGGGGATGGCAGATACTGACTGCCTGCAGGAATTACTCCAGTAGCAGCTGGTAACTTCTGACTCAGGCCTACAGAAACAGAAGAGCCAAGCCAGTGTGCAGCTGGAAGAAACTGTGACTGCAGCTGCACAGGTGCTGAAACCTTCCAGCGAGTCTTGGAAGACGATGATGATGGAGTTCCTACATTACCGCTCTCTGCAGAAATAGAATGAGATTGCTGCTGACTATTTTGGGAAACTTCCTGATCACTGTGACGTGTAGGCTGATTTCCTTTAACATTTACTGGAGGTCTCTGATATCCACTACCAATGTAAACACCAGTACCTACAACTGCTGCACTTGACACTCCACTACCCAAAACATTTGCTGAAAGTCTCTGTGAACTATCAGGCACAGAAACGCCAGTACTGACAACTCCAGCACTTGACATTCCACTACCCAGAACATTGCTGGCAGGCCACTGCAAACCAAGGGCTGAAGAGACACCAGAAATATCAGCAGCACCACTAGTTGCTTCTGTTCCTGGAACTTTTGATGATTCTCCTGGATTATTTCCTTTATTTTCTTGATAAATACCTCCATTTCCATATACAATACTTGAACTTGATCCTTGCTGTGGGATTTGTGCTGGATTTATGTCTCCAAATGACGATTCAACCAGCCTGAAGCCACCGTCACTGCTTGGGTCAGGCACAATATTCCAGTCACTGCGCCTGCTGACAGGGCTGCCTGGTATCACTTGTCCTGCAGTTGACTTGATGTGTTCTATTCCATCATCACCTGATGCCATTCGACCCATGATATTTTTGCTACTGTAATCATAGGTAGGTGGAATGTACTCCTCACCAGTAACTAAACCAGATGCATGGCGACTATTCTTGTCTACACGTACAGGCCATGGTAAATCCACCCAGCGTTTTGGTGGTTTTGTCACTTCGTCTACAGGGTCATAAATCTGAAAAGAAATATGTCATAAACCTTCTGATACAGTTAAATGAGATCTCAAATTTGGATTACATACATTTTCCAAATAGGTTTGTTATAATTCTGTAGCCCTCAATGTATCAACTGTTCATTTATACAAATAGAAATCTACTATTGAAACAGGTAATCAACACTGAGATAATGAGCTGCAGAATTTCACAGATAAAATCATTCCCATAGGGTCTAAGAGATAGGAAATAACTGGGGGTTTGAGAAAGTTGCTTAAAGAGCACTACAAGTTGCTAATATAAAATAATGCCAAATAACAGGATGATTAGTGAATAATGAATTGGAAAGGATACAAACAGAAGTGGTTGTGTCATAATTTAAAGTACAACCCAGCATATGCTTGAAGTGTCTGAACAAAACAGTGAAAAACCTCAGTGAGAATAACCAGTTTCTGGCCCAGTAATTGAACTAGGGATCTCCTGAATATAAAGCACAATGATCAACAGGAATTCCTCAACTGATGAGTATCAGCTAATCAGGAACACCATATACTTTACTTCTAGCTTTTAACCTATCTGCTTCTTTGAACTATGTTTAAGTGGGTCCCGTGTCACCATGGCATGGCAGGTTTTCAGGTCACAGGTGGAGACAGTCTCCAGACACATAACATAGGCGCAAATTTATCCAATGTGACTGTGAGGCCATAGCTGGGTCAGTTCTTCATGGAGCCAAGTGACTTTTATGGCGCCCCCATAAATAAAATCCTACATTTCATTCAAAGTGTAGGATTAATAAAGGGTTAATTCAAAGGGGAAGCACAAATAGATCACTGAAGGTCACAGTGCAAGGGCCAGATCTAATGGCCCACCCCATACACACATACACATACACACAGGTGCAAATTTGATGACATTCGACAAGTAGTAGGCCTCTACATTGCGGATCTGGTGGGAGACTACCAATTCCTCGCCATAAAAACCAGCATGTTTCAAAATGTTACACAAAGCCCCCAGCTTGGTGGGCCCTTAAGAACATGGAAATGCACATTTAGGTCCCACAGAAAGTGGCTAATTTCTTGTGCAGCTCAGCAACTTTTATACAAACATTATCCATTGTCTCCGGTATAAGTGATATAAACTTTTAGGAAACTGGATCCATTTCTGTCATCAGGCATAAAGACGTAAGGATCCTACTCTACTGGACCTACTGTAAGGGACAGTTTCAATCACTTGATCTTGATCCCATGATCCAGATCAGCTCTTTCCAATTTGCCCAACTGGATAGAATTTTTTCCTTTAACAGATGGCAGAAATAGGTCCTTTTTCTAAAGTGTTACTAATTACAAATATCCTCAAGACAATGGACCATGTCCTACATAATATTTGTTTAACAAATCAATAATTGTCACAAAACTGTAGAGCATCATGTGTTCTTATTAGCTTCTCAAGATAGTGTTTGTCATCTAGTTACTGTACCATCTATGTTGGATATCATGATGAAACAATATTAATCACCGCAGCAGTTTCCTTCATTATCTAGATAAACTATATTTATACATACTCACAGCAACACAAACAAGAACATTCAATAGAAAGATTTCCAACGCCCGCAGCATTTTGGTCACCATATTTATAAATATATGCCCTAACAACTACTGTGCAGATAAATCAGTAACAACAGTTTGGCACCGTTCTGTCTCACTATCCTCTGTAGTGATGCATAAACTCCATTACCACTTAACTCAAGATAACTCTATAGCAGTGTACCCTACGGATATACAAAACTGGTACAAAATAGAGACACTAACACCGAACATAACAAATGTGTTCCATGCAAAGTCACAATAAAGGCATGAAGGAAATAACCTTTAAAGCTCTATTATCTCCGAATCACGGGTCAGTAGCCAAAGTCCATGCAAATTACTTGGCACAGGCCCAAAAACCAATGATAAACAATTTCCTCAGTCGAGTTCTCTGAATCAACTAGCCATATGAACTTGTGAGCCATCTACTGACACATTAAGGTCAAGATCAGAACAGTACTGGCAATGCTTGTGGAAGACAGTAAACTAAAACAATAAAAATCTTTTTCATAAAAAATAACAGCACAAAATATATACAAGTGGGTATTACATTTTATAATATAACTATATAAAATAAAGGTCTATAAGATAATTATTTATGGCTGCAAAATATCTACTTCTAACAACTGAAGCTAGACATGACATCTTTATTTTGTTAGATATTAAAGTATCCATGACTCAAAAGTAAAAGTGACTTTAGGTGAGTTATACGAATGTTACAATCATTAAAATACTCACCTCAGTCAAGTTCTCAGATGGATCTCTACATCCATGCCATCTATACGCCATGTGAGGGAACTCCACGTATACCTTGGCTAAGAATGAGACAAGAGCACTAGACTACACAGTTTACTACTGTGACATAGGCACCTTCAAAGTGATATGCATGCACACACTCACACAGGTTTTTCTTCAGAATGAATTAAGTCAAAGACATAATTATTTTTACCATCTCTATCTCAGGTATGAGGTTGTCACCACTCTGACCATGAAGATTACCGTCTTCTGATATGACACCGTGTAGTCTTGTACATAACTACCAGCATTTCAGAGGACTGTGGTACCTCCATTTTCAGGAAACATGAGCTCTGATGTGAAAACAGAAGCAACATGTTCCTCCACAAAATTCTGAAGTGTAAGAAAGCACACAAAAAACTTTCTGCACTTAAAGCGTTCTATCTTCTGGGATATGTACATACAGGGTGTTTCACGACTTTAGGGCATAACTGCAGGAGGTGATTTCCTAGGTCTTTGTGATCAAAAAAGTTCATATAAACATGTGTCCGATTTTGGATGGTTACAGAGTTATGACCATTTTTTCATTCCCGTACACGCCCTTGTGTGAACTGCGTCTGTCAGATGTCGGGTCGCTATTTTGAGCCAGCTACAGACAGAGCGTTCTTGTTATCTTGACACTTGAGATGTAGTACCTAAGGCGGGGTGGGTTGGTATGTTCGGCGCGGTTCACAACCAAGAGGCGGCCTGTGTTGCAGCCAGCGGTGGTATTTTCGAAAATCAGCTTTAAGCACCAATAAATTCAAATTAAAGGAAATTTCACGAAGTTAACTTTACATTCATACTTTAAATGTATCATGTATTATGCTGGTTTATCGTTACCTTCTATTCTGAGTTTAAAATGGTCATAACTCTGTAACCGTCCAAAATCGGACACATGTTTATATGAACTTTTTTGATCACAAAGACCTAGGAAATCACCTCCTGCAGTTATGTCATAAAACATCCTGTATATATAATGCCGTGCAATTAGCAAGTTAGCATGCTTCATGCTGGCTTCTTGCTTGGCTTGTTCTTCAGCCATGAAGATGGAGGCATGTCCATACAAAATGTCTGATGACTTTCAACAGACTGCATGGCATTACATCCCAGGAGATAGGACTCTTCATAACCACTGCTGTGAGAACCTCACATCCTGCCTTCTATACTTGTCTGCAAAATCAAACATAAATACGATTTACACCATTTGCAGGATACCAGATATATTTTATACACATGGAGCTGGACAGGGGTTGAAAAAAATATTTTGTAAATTTTGCATTTTCATTAATTGCCATCTGTTTGAACTACATTTTGCTACAAAATCTATTTCATTAGAAACCAACTGATCATCTGGGTATGCTTTTAATATACTGCCAATGCCGTTACCCAAGAGGCTGAAGTAAGATATGTGCCAGTGCTGATCCCCAACAAATGTCACTTTACAGATGTCAAGTAAAATGAAGAGACATTTATTTTACAAAGTAGCCTGCTGATGCCTGATAAAGTGAAAACATGTAGCAACTGCAAAATGTTATATACTTGTTCTCTTATACATCTGTTTCAAATGCAGTAAGTTCGAAGTCCAGTTCTCATTCAAAAGGCTAATCCAGCAGGTAAGTTCCCAGCATGGGGGCATCACTGCTAACATGTTTGCTGTTGAAAATATCAGATCTTTGAGTCTACAAGCCCACATAACATGTCTGCACACGAGCACTATTTTCTGCATATGAACAGATGGCACCACTCTGCATGCTCTTGTCTTTACATACCGCAACCACCTGCAAAAAGTGAAATGATGATGCAATAGTTCAGAACTTATTTCTAATTTATAAGGCACAGTAATTTAATCTCTACCTAAGCACAGACACTAACTAAACAACCATCAAACATCTGAGATCTGAGGTTTAGACAGCTGTGAAAATGAGGATTACTGTCTTCTGGCCTGTGATGACATTTGGGTTATACAGACAGGTCACAAGGAACACTGCACTCTGAACCATGACCGAGGGAAAGGATACACATCACAGAATGGACCAACAGAAACTATGAACAGGAAAACTGCTTTCTCATCTTCTCATGCTTCTATTTCCTTCCTGTGGACCTGAGAAGTATCATTCTTCTGCCCACCACTCCTGTGGGCCTCCTCCCAACCTCCCACAGAACAACTCCTTCCTTGCAGCCCCCTTGTATAAGCGATTCCTCATGCTACACATTTTGATTCTGAAGACAGATGCAACATGTTTCTCTAAAACGTTGGTATCTACACAGTGTCACACCCCAGAAGACCACAGTCTGGACAGTTGCCTCCACGAAACCATCAAAACTTATAGCACTGATGTAAGTAAATGAATGTGATAGACAATTTAATTCTGTCTCCTCTAACCACAGAATAAGAACACACGTATCTTTCACAAAAAAATTATACATATATCCATATCCATGAGTGGATGCCCTGTAAGCTAGGAGAAAGAGGGGTAACCTCTCATCCCAGTCCCTTTGGTGCGATGAGACGACCTTCCGCAAGTGCTCCTCGATGGTCTTGACGTAGCGTTCCACCATGCCATCCGACTGTGGGTGCAGGGGTGTGGTGCGCGTCTTGCTCACTCCCAGGCGTTGCAAAACTTCTTTCAGTAGATGAGACTCGAAGTTACGGCCTTGGTCACTGTGCAACTCTCGAGGTATGCCGAAGCGGCAGAAGAAATTGGCAACCAGAACTTCCGCTATTGTTGAAGCCTCCTGATTCGGGATGGCGTACACTTCCGGCCACTTGGTGAAGTAGTCCATAGCGATCAGTAAGTATCGGTTTCCTTGGTCGCTTCGTGGGAAGGGCCCTGCGATATCAATGGCTACTCTCTCGAAGGGAGCACCGACATTATACTGGTGCATTTGCCCACGATTCCTGGTCCGCGGTCCCCGACTGGCTGCACATGTGTCACACTGTCGACACCATTTCTCAACATCGGTCCTTGCTTGGAGCCAGTAGAATCTCTGTCGAACCTTATTCAGAGTTTTGTTGACACCGAAGTGACCTCCTGACGGTCCACCGTGCAGTTCGCTCAGAACGTCCTTCACCCTGCTCCGAGGAATAATTACCTGGGCTACTTGACGTCTTCCGGTGACGGATTCCCAGTCACGCTCTAGTACGCCGTTTCTCACAGCGAGCGATTTCCACTGGGCCCAGTAGCTTTTGTACGTGGGACTCCGATCCGCGATGTCCTGCCATTCCGGTCGTTGGCCGTTCTCTACTTCCTGTAGAATAGGTCCTATGTCCGGGTCTTTTAGCTGTTCCTCTCTTAGGGTAACAGGGTCCCAGCCGGCGGCCGGTAGGGTTCCAATAACGCGTATTTGTTTTACCTCTGCCCGCGTCTCAACTTTGTGGCAGTGCGCACATTGCTCTTGGCAGGGTCGTCTAGAAAGGGCGTCGGCGTTGTTATGTTTTCGGCCCTGACGATGCTCCGAAGTGAAGTTGTACTCCTGTAGACGCTGTATCCAGCGCGCAGTTTGTCCCTCTAAGTTCTTGAAACTCATAAGCCAGGTAAGCGCAGAGTGGTCCGTTCGCAGATGGAACTGTTGTCCGTAGAGGTATTTGTGGAAATGTTCCAGTGTCCTCACTATGGCAAGTAGTTCTCGACGGGTGACACAGTAGTTTCTCTCTGCTTTGTTTAGCGTCTTGCTGAAGTAAGCTATGACACGCTCTTTTCCGTCCTGGATTTGAGAGAGAACTCCTCCAATTCCGACATTACTTGCATCTGTGTCCACAATGAATTTCTCTCCTGGCTGTGGGTAGGCAAGAATAGGGGCAGCACATAGGGCACCCTTTAGCGTTTGAAAAGCGGCCTCCACTTCTGGAGTCCACTGGAAGGTTCGTTTCTCTTCCGTTAGTTTCGTTAGTGGCTTCGCAAAGTTGGAAAACCCTGAAATAAATCGCCTGTAATACGCGCATAATTCATTTTAAATGCAAAAATTAATTCAAATAGTGTGACATGTACCACACCAAACATTAAAAACATTGAAGAAAGCAGTCTTCTGGGATTTGGCACCGTGTATATGTGGTGTTAACCGACGTTTCGGAGGAACGTATCGCCCCCATCTTCAGGGTAGAAGAAAAAGTATAAGAAATCTGCAAGCGACAACACCGTGAGAAACGGTAAAGCAGTCTGCTTTACTGTTTCTCACGGTGTTGTCGCTTGCAGATTTCTTATACTTTTTCTTCTACCCTGAAGATGGGGGCGATACGTTCCTCCGAAACGTCGGTTAACACCACATATACACGGTGCCAAATCCCAGAAGACTGCTTTCTTCATAGTCACTGCCGTGAAAGCCTCAAATCTTACATTAAAAACATCAACTGACAAAGACTTTTTACAAGGCAAAACTGAATGCTTCATTTTAACCTAACTGATAATTAACTAACTTCAAGAAGCTGAGCCATTCTTGAGAAGCTGCCAGTTCTGCAGCTACTCAAGAACTTCCCAGGATTTTATGGAATCCAAAGTTTCATTACCATGTTCACAAGAGCACTCCCCTGGTCTCTATCCTCAGCCAGATCAATCCAGTCCATATCAGCCCACTCTATCTCTCTCTAAGATACATTTTAATATTATCTACCCAACCACATCTTGGTCTTCCTAGTGGTCTCTTTTCTTCCTGCTTTCCCGCCAATAGCCTAAATGCATTCCTTTTTGCCCCAATTCGTGCTACATGCCCTTCCTATCTCCTCCTCATTGATTTTATCATTCTAATTATACTTGGCAAAGAGTACAAGTTATGAAGCTCCTCATTATGCAGTTTTCTCCAATCCTCTGTCACTTCATCTCTCTTCAGTTTGAATATTATTCTCAACTCCCTGTTCTCAAACACCCTCAGTCCATGTTCCTCTCTTAATATCAGAGACCAAGATTCACACCCATACAGAACCACAGGCAAAATCAGTTTTGTATATTCTACCTTTAATATTTTTAGACAGCAGACAAGAAGATAGAAGTTTCCGGACTGAATGGTAGCAAACATTAACTTAACTGATACTCTTTTGAATGACAAAATATCCATTTTTATAGCAAGAGTATTCACAAACTAAGATCACATCTGGGCATCTTACTTAATTCTTGGCTCGAGACTTCCACCAGGCTGGAAGCCGATTAGCTCGAAGTTTGATTTCAGAAGCAATATGTTTGTAAGGGTTGCTGAGTTGACTGGGTGTCTCTGGAATATGGCCAAATCTCTTCACACGAGGAGAAAGAAGAACCAAATTCTGCACAAGTCCATAAGCACTCGACGTAACCCAATACAAGTTCAAGCACTACACATAAAGAAACAAGTTATTTACAACTTGACAGATTACAATTTGTCAGTAACTGAGCTTAACTTTACTATATGTTTCTGTGGCCACTTAAGCCGGCTGTTCTGAGCCTTATCTGATTAATGATCCATTAAAATTGCATTGGGTTTTCCAAGGACTGGTCCATCAATGTTTCACATTATGAGTTCCATAAAACATACAGAAGTCAACAAAAATAGCTATTACTAGCATGTCTAAATGTGTTTATTTGCAATATAATAATGAGTTACACCTTCATATGGCTATAAAATTGAATAGATGCCATAATAACTGACACTGGACATTTTCAATTAAAAATATGCACAATCACGTTTGAAAAATTTAAGTTGTGAGGAGTCTGTCTTCCAAGGATCTCGGGTTTGTAATATGACTCAGTCTCCCAATGTCCATGCGATAAAGTGACCAACCCCGAAACTCTGTATCCTCTTTCTTACTTATTCTGTTTCATGAGATAAGAATCTCTGAGAAGAATTCACAATGCTGACATCCCTTCGAACGCTTACACATATAAGAATATATCGCAACGAAACCACCATTTGGGGGTTCTTTAGTAGCAGTGAACCTGAACACTAGATCAAGGAAAATCCTAACTGGAGGAAATTTCACATGTATATATATTATTGACCTGGGATCAATGAAGCTGAAAACTGAATGATGTAAACTGTGGAACACTAATGGAGTTTCCACTGTAGAAGGAATTCTGCGTTAAAAGATCAAATTTTGTGACCTACCTCACTGTGCCATTCCTGTCAGTACAGATCCTTGCATATTTCTCAAAGGTCTGTTACCATTCTTTAATCTTTACCATCCAGAAACAGGGGTTTTAAATCTCCTGGTACTATGCAATTGGGTGACACATTTAAACTAGTGGGTAACGGTTTATAGTCCAGAAATAGGGGCCAGGATCATTATGTTAACTTTAGTGTAAGTTACAAACATACAACACTTACTGAAGGAACAGAAGCAGCAATTGGTATCGTGGCGATACTGAATAATCGAAAGAAATGTGTCACGTACTGCTGAAGTTTACTCTTCTTCCTTATTTTTGACATGGTCTGAAGCTATAAGCAAAAATGAGACAGAATATTATCAAGAAAGTTTTCACATTCATCTGGGTTGTAGTGCCATGTAGCTCAGTGGACGTCTACAGTCTACTGGCATGTCAGAGGGACACGGGGAGACTTCTCCTGAACTCCATTGTACTGCAACCCAGAAGATCATACTCTTTAAATTCTCTTTATTGAAGTTCCACTGGAGTCAGGATAGCTCAGTCAGTATTACAATCGACTAAGAGTCGGACGGCACAGGTTTGATTCCCAGCAGTGCACCATTTTTCTCTCCTCCATAGAACCCACACTGACTCTGGGGCCCCCCTAGCCTCCTCTCCAATGGCTACCAGGGGCTCTTTCCCAAGGGGTAAAGCAGGTGACCACTCACCTCCATCTACTACCAAGGTCAAGAAAGGTGGAGCTACACCTACACTCCCCCATGTCTTCATGGCACAGTGCTTAACTAATTAAGCACATGGACAATCTTACCTGTTACCTTCAAGTTCCACCATTTTAGTACAATTTTAATACTACTAAATCCTTACAAGCAGACTGTCTGCAAAAATTATGACATACAAAAAGGAAAGATATTGGAAGATGAAACCTGAATGTGCTCTACCATAGTAAGCCTAGCTGGAGAAGTATATAAATGTACCTGAGACCTGAGCTTATGTAAGCTGACAGATTTTCTGAAGAAGCAGAGTGAGTTCAGGTATCAGTGTCAAAAGACAATCACTGCACAGGTACTTCTCAATTTATGCAACAATTTTATACAAAGAAAAAATAAAGTTGCAGAGAGTTTGAAGTCACAAAAATAAAATGTAATTTCCCTTCATCCTTGAAATTCCTCTTCTGCCACCCACACAATAATCTGCTCCCTCTTAACCCCGCCCCTCTCGATTAGAAGCAAGCAATTGCATCAAAGCAAATGCTGTTACCTGACTGCATTAAAATTAAATTACATCATCTGGACTGAAAATGTTACAAAAACATACGAATCCCCTACCTCAACAATGGCAAGATTGATAAGTCCCAGAGAAACTGGCAGAATAAGAGACTCGTCAGGAACAAGAAGATTCGGAATCCAGCCGAACCCTCCAACACTCAGTTCCATGTATGTTACCATCGCACCTGCAATAAATAAACACGATATTAATATTTCCTCAAATCACAGTAGCAATTCTTATAAAGTGGATTTCCACCAGGCAGGCTGGTGTGGCAGTAGCAGTCTGGACTCATATTCAGGATGTGCTCAGTTCAAACCTTGGCCAGACATCAACCATCCTGACTGAGAGTTTTCCTCAGCCATCCCAGCAAATTCCAGGATTGTATGCCAATTATGTTATGCATGAATGCTTCCTTCCAAATCCTTTCCACTGCATCATTCATCTGCCATCCTACCTTCTAACAGTACACAGTTACAGCCATGCTACTGTCATGAAAGACTCACAAAGGGGGAGGGGGCAATTTATATGAGCATTTCTTCTCTCTTCCAAAAATATGGACAATGTAGGCCAGTGGTTCCCAAAATGTGCTGTACTGTCCACTGATGGGGTTTGGCATTACCTGGGGGTGCACGAGGCAAGGGAGCTGCAGGTGGGATCCTCTGAGCACACTGTTTGCTTCTTTACCACTGAAGTGACTTCAGACTACACACTGGGAAACTGGTGTCACTTCAACAAGCCCATCCATCGCATTAAGAATTTACTAACAGTGACGTAGTTACCAAATGTTGTTATATTATTGTTATTATCTTCCTTGATGGGGTGTGCAAACCACTGTTCTGAAGATTGCCTTTTTATATGATAGGGCAGAGGGTACTGAGTATAAGTTTATGGAACTACTGACGTATGTCATGATTTTTATGCAAAAGATATTACAAAATTGGTTCTAGCTATATGAAACCATATAAAGCTATATAGAACTACATTCAAATATTGAGGCCATGAAAAGAAAACCCATGGATCATCCACATGTCCCTTGAGCTGCTACACTTCCTCTCCAGTGCACTTCTCCTAACTCCCCTCTGGCTGTCTTGCCATTCTGTGCACACAACTACTGGAAGCGATAACTTTGCTAGTGACAGCTTCTGGTCGAGAGTCGCCACAGGTGCTCAGGGGGATTACAACAGCAAAGCAGGGAAGTGAAAGTGTCCAGCACCACCATACCATCCAGAGCTCTACACAGCAGTGGATGACAGAACAATCAGTGAATAATCAATTGTGAATGATATGGAAAGAAGCAGTCATGGCCTATTTTAAAGAACTGCTTGGAGGGACTGAGGAACATCACAAAAGAACATCAGTCAGGATGGCTGGTCTCTTGTCTGAGATTTGAACCCAAGAGCTCCCACGTATGAAGCAGGAGCACTATTTAACTGAATAAGACATTTGCTGCAAAATGTTAAAGAGGTCTGCAAACATAAAAATGATTATATTGTGTTGAGAAATAAATTACACTGTACAGTGCTACGAAGAGAGCCTACCTGCCTTGCTGTGAGGGAGCAGGTACACCATATTTCTCAAGGCAACCGATACAAATACCCACATGGGCAACTGTACCCAGAGAAGAATACTGGCTTTTAACGGATGGCAATTGTCACGGATTATAAGATTATTCCACTGCTTTTGTAGCTGAAACAGAAAAATATGACAAGTTGACAAGACTTGAGCATAAGCAGGACCTTTGAATGCATCAGCTATTCACTACTGGTTAAATTACCTACACCAGAATTTATAATTTCCCTCCAAACATTCCCGTATAATATTAATCACAATCACACAAAACATGACCTCCCAAAAAGTGAATACCAAGAGATCCACTTGGTCCAGTCACGCAAAACAATTATAAGCAATGAGATACGTATTTTTGGGTGCGCTTTAAGCATTGATATAGCAATCAGGCTAAGGACTGGACATGCAATGAACTGGGGTTCATTTCCTGGCAGCATCCAGATTGGCTCTGAGACCCAGCCAGCTTCCTAACTGATGCATTCCCAAGTGTAAAGTGGTAGAGGCTTCTTATACTTGGGATGCCAGTGGATTCCATTCATACAGAATTAGCAAACAGAATTCTAACTGGGAAGGTACTTGGCAGTTTTCTCAACTTTATCACCCATTGTTTGTACACCACTTCACATGGCATGGTTTTGTGATTATTTAATGAAGGTGGCTGAAATTAGCCAGTCATGTAGCACAAACTGAGGGATCAATATGCGTATATAGCTCAGAAATTTTCATACAAAGAGAACATTTAGAAGACTAATGGTGTAGATAACATATGCAATATACTTACTGATCGATTATACATTCTCCGTGCTTGGTTCTCAGTCCAGTTGAATTGTTTCATTGCAATTGCAGTTTCTTTCTTCAATTCTTTCACAATTTCTGGCATCTCAAGCAGATGTAGGTTTTCAACCTTAGCCAGTATGTAATTCTAAAGAAAAACACAGACATACATTTTCACAGAATCCACATTCAATAGAATTACATACTTCTTTTTTGTGGTTTACTTAAGTGACTCCAATGACTAATTATATATCCTCAAATGATAGAGCGATCCTATGTAACAAACTGCGAGAGATGTGGAAGGACATGATCAAGGAGAAATTTGAGGTATTATCCTGGCATTTTCCACCAGACTTGGGGAAAACCACAAAAATCTCAGTCATGATACTCAGCCTCTGAACTGAGATATGAACCCAAGACCTCATAAACACAAAGAAGGCATGTTAACCACATGAACTCCAAGAGCATGTGAAGAGGAATGATCAGGTAAGTTACAGAGAGGACAAGAGGAGCATGAGAAGACACTAGAAGGCTGTGAGGAAAGAGATTACAACAAAAACAGCTTTCCAAAGTGACAGTCCAAAAACATCCTTTAACAATAACATTGATGATGCCAAAGACTTACATACTGAAATGGAATTTACTTTGTTTCTAGCACTGAATGACTCACAGGGTATGAAAATCCATGGAGAAACTATACAAAATCACCTTACTTCCTGGGCTTACTCTTTGATCGTGCAAGATTCCTCTAAAATGTCAGTAAACTCCCAGCAGCCTACATGGCATACCATCCCAGAAAAACAGTGTTCAAAACAGAATCCTGTGGAATCCAGAAACTTCTCAGGTTTCTGTTTTAACATGAGTAGTTTGGAATAATAAAAAAAATCCTGATCAGTATTTATGACACAAGTCACAAGTGAGTTTCATGCTACATGTGCACACTACACTGTTATGAGCAACAAACATTCTTGGTTTCCTTACTTTCTTGAATTCTTGTTTTCCCTTCCAGTTTATATTTATTATAAGTAATTTTAAATTGGTTTCCACTGGCAAACGACAGACCCGTCCACTTGTCAGAGAGAGCGCCCCACATCAACAAACACTCAACTGTCTGACAGTAACTAAAATCTGATCGTAAGCCCCAGATGGGTGCTTTATTCCAAGACAGACTGGCCGACTGACCGTCGGTTCTAACATAACTTAGACTTTGACTTTGACTGGTTTCCACTCAGTCCAAGTTTCATTTTTGACAGGTTTTACTGAACAAAGCATAAAGTGCAGGATATGAAATATGAAGCTAATTTCATCCCCTTGTGCAAGATGTTGGCTACCGATAGCTGTGGAAAATATCATCAGTCAGTTATTAATTAAAACCAGCATTATCCAGGAAGAGATAGAGGCTAAAGGGAAATAACAGACAACAGAGTGTATCGAATGGTATAGCAGTTAACATTTCTTCACATCTGACCCCAAAGACTGTCTATGCTGAGCGTTATTTGTGTTATCCTCATTCCGTCTAGTCTAACACCGGCACAAACACTTCAAATAGGCAAGGAATCCCTGTTTCCTATTATCTCCAAATTCAGAATCAGAATACTACACAACCTCTGCAACTGATAAAGTGTCATTAAACTTGTACTACATAGTACAGTATTATTCATGTCTCACATGTTGCATTCCTGACAATGATCAGTTATACACCTGATGAATAACGCTGTGAACTTTTTCTAGGTTATATTAGTCTTACAAGTCGCACATCCTGCTGAGAAACCTCCAAATGAGCTACTAGTCACTCCTGGATGCTGACTCTACATGTTTATATCCCTCACTTCTCTACTAAGTAAATGCAAATTATGAACAATGTTTGAACAATATTAGTATTTTTGTGGACTACTTTAGGATGCTAAAAGCTGTGAATGGTAAGATAAGTGACAAACTGCAAAAAATCTGAAGCAAGCAATCATGGCATAGTTGAAGTACCAGTTAGATACCGCTTATAGGGACTGGGAGGAACCACAACAATCTCAGTCAGGACAACCAGCATCCTGCCCAGAATTTGAACCAAGTACCTCCAGAACATGAGTCTAGAGTACTGCTGCTGCCAACCTGCTTGATGAATATTATTTTGGAATATTTATTTAAAGTAGTCAGGTCTTCTTGATTGAAGGAACTTAATGACAAGTATCCTATATCAGTTTATGTTATCTCCAGGATGAATGAATGAATGAATGAATGAATGAATAAAAGAACGAAGTAAGAAGAGATGATACTTCTATGTTCTATTTCATCTTTGTATGCCTTCATTCAACAAACCTGGTAAAATGCTAAAGGAAGTGTTACAGCAGTCCTCAGGAAAACAGTTGTCAGTATAATTGTTGTCCACCATGGAAGGCCAGATGAATTATGTATAAACAAGAGGAAGTCTTGAGCATAGGCAACTGGTGGGCTTTCTGACAACCACAGGAACACACGGGGCCATATCCCCGTGATTTCTACACCAGACTGTCCTGAAATGTGCCTAATCTGAAAATGGGGATGACCCTTTATGGCTGATGGTATGCTGTTAATACTGCGATCTGTGGTAAATGTCCAGCAATTGTGGTGTGACATACTATAATATGAAGATGACAAATTTCTTCCCGTAGAACACCAAATAATTCTACTTTTATTACATGAGTTAGGTTTTTCAGTCAGTAAGTGTAATCTTGAATGGCGACACCAAATTCCCAGTCCTGGAAAGGCGCCTAGGTTACACATGTGCGAATATGGCCTACATTTATTCGGTGTTTCTAAATAAATAATGTTCTTAAAACATTTTCGCTGCATTCTGATGGGGATATTCAGGGCCCATATTTGTTGCAGCATTTTTAAATAGAGATTACGACATTCAAGTTACACTGTCACTTTCTTGCTGCATCAAGGCCACGAATAAACATTACGTCATTAGAAACACGACTCATCCTCAATACGTGAAAGCCAGACCGGCCACACCTAAATCTTAAATTGGTGGTAACATTGTCATTCTGTCTCTCTCAAACAACTTTCACCTTCACTTTAATACATTACGACCATATGTGACATAACACACTTCCGACACGGCAGAACTTTCTCCAGTAGATGCCTCTGTATAGTTGATAACAAAGGGAAGTAGGTACGAACGGGTACGAATAGTCTGTTTCGTTATAGACCTTACAGACCGTACTACATAACATAACACCGGTTAACGTAATTATTTACGTTGATGAAAGATTAGGGTTAGAGTCATGCCTTGATAGTAGAGGTTTGGTTTTGAATGTGTTGATGTGTGTAGGTTTTGTGTGTTTAAAGACGTAGATGTGCATGTAACTGTGATACGGCTAATTGTGCCATAATATCTAGTATTTCTCATCCAAGATATATGTATGACATTGTGATATGGGTGAGAGTTTAAGTACATTTCTGTCAGACTATTGCCACCCACATATTGTTGCTACAAATGTCAGAGCTTTCGTGAGTAGGAAACGAAGGCGTGATGAAACTGAGGATGAAGATAATGATCCCGATATGATGTTGGAAAAGACCCTACATACACCAAAAAAGTAAGTTTCACATGTAAAATAATTAGTGTTCTTACACAGATTGATATATAGACCCGCCTTATAGTCATACAACTTTATTTTACGTTTCAGGAAGAAGCTTGTATCTACTGCCCAGTACATATACAGGGCTTTGTTCAAGGAAGGGAATAACAGTGATGTTACAGTTATAGCTTTGGGAAAGCCATGGAAATTACATAAAGTATACCTTTGCCAGGTAAATATTATGTAGCTTGGTAACCATAATAGGGTGCTTTTGTTGGAAGATATTTTGTTCTGCAGAACAGATCTGGGAAATGGCTCTCTTTGATTTTGTTGATGGTCATTTAATCAGCGTGGAAAAAATTTGCTAATTTTAAACTCCTGTAATTATATCTCTTCCTTTTATTCTAGAGCCCATATTTTTCCAGTATGTTTTCTGGAGCTTGGCGAGAAGCTAAAGAAGACATTGTAGAAATTAAAGTCGTAGACCCAAAAATCAATCTTGATTGTAAGTATGATTGTACTTCTTTTGGCTTTGGTGTGATTGTCATTATATTCATTAATATAGAGGATAACAGGCCTACTATATGAACAAGAAAAATCTGTTACAGTGTGTAGTCTTTTGTGACCTGAGCCTTGTTAGAGATCTGTGTGTGTTCATCTGTCAGCTGATTTAATTAAAGGTGTCATTACCAAAGACAGTTATGTATCAGTTGTCTTGAAACTAGGTATATTCCCACTCCCCCCTATCTAGTGCCAAAGTTAAGAATGGTGGAGCTATACCTCCACTCCCCTATATGTCTTCATGGCATGGTGCTTAATTATTTACACCCGTGGATAACTTAAATTTACAGCCATGTTGTCCACCATGTTCATGCTGCCAACTGCAGGAGTTTATTTATGAAAATAAAACCTGAAGTCTTACCTTAGAAGGTTATGCTATAGATCAACTGATTAGATGCTGACTTCCCACCGTGGCAGCCTGGGTTTGATTGTAGGTCAGATCATGTGGGATTTATGGTTGACAAAGCAGCAATGGGGCAGGTTTTAGTTAGTTTATTTATATTCCATAAGATCTTTACAATGTTGTGAGAACAACCATCGGATATAGGAACAGTCAGATAAAAAATCATCCAGGTACTTCAATTTCCTCTGCCAATTCTCATTTTGCCTCTTGCACTACACTCTTCTGTCGTCCGGAATTAGTACAATAGGCCCAGTAGTGGCTTGAGTGCCAAGTGGAGTCACTCTTACCCTATGCTACAGATTAAAAAAAGAACATCTTAGAAGGTTTTTAGATATTTATTTTTAAGAACAACACCAAAATCCTAACTTTGTGGATTTGTGGGATACAAATTCTAAGGTTAGGCTTTTGTCTTATTTCTACAAATAAACTTCTAAGGTTGGCAGCAGTAACATGGTGGGCAATATGGTAGTTGATATATAAGTATTTAATATTTTTATGAAATCACAACATGGCAATCACATGAAATATTTTATTTTGACGGTGATTTGTTTGGTGATGTTATAGATACATCTGCCGGTAAAACAGGATAATTTATGAAAGTGACTGGATAAAGGCTGGATGACTGGGTTTCATTCCCAACATGGGCAGGAGTTTCTGTTTGCCATTGTGTCTCCATGTCTGTATCAGCCATGGAGGCAGTTCAGCCTCCTACCCAATAGGTACTAAGGACCCTTTCCCTAAGGGTAAGGTGGCCAGAGCTTGAAACTGACCACTCACTTCCATATAGTACCACTGTTTAAGAATGGTTTTATTTCTGCTTTGTCCCAAACACTGACCATGGCATTGTGCTTATGTACAGAGGCAGTTGTAGACTGAAAGTAAAGGTGACCTATGCTTCAATAATCACCACACCATGAAAATGTATGGGGAGTGGAGGTATGGCTCCGCACACATTTTTAACCTTGGTGTTAAATGAATACAATGTTGTCAGTATCTCAGAAAAATATGGCATTAAACAGCAAAATGATTGGTCAGTGATGAATTGGAAAGGATATAGAAGGAAATGGTCTTTCACATTGGGGTATTATGCCAGCATTTGCCTAAAGGAACTGAAAAAAAGAACCTGTGTGGGACAGCTAGTGCTACTACCAACATTCAGAATCAAGAATATCTCAAATCTAAGTCTGTATCATTATCACTGCACCAACTAATTAACAAAACTATATGTTTACATGTGATTCTGTATTAACAGCTTTGTGCACAGTTCTGGGGTCCCTCTACCTTGATGAGATCACTCTGGAACCAATTGAAGTGGTACCGACACTAGCAACAGCAACTTTATTTCAGCTGGATGGAATCATAGATCAGTGTACAGAGATCATGATTGAAACTGTGAATGCTGAGGTACCGCATTCTTTATTAACCCTTCATGAGTGATTATGGGGAATGGGCTGTTAAGCTGCATATGCATTTATGAGAGGAGGGTCAGTGATGTGTGAAATTCATAATGGATTACTTTATACTGCAGTCTGCTGTAAATAAGGTTTGATATTTATTTGTTGCTTGTAGTTTATTTAATTCCTGGTACTCATTTCTGTTAGAGGCTGAGTCGACCCCAGGGCCATAGTGCAGCTGGAAGGATTAGGTAAATTGAAAAAAATCCAGTGACCTCACCGGGATTTGAACCTGCGACCTTCCGCCCTGTACCTCAACCAAATAAATTAAATAATTTTCCTGGAGAGTAAAGGGCGGCCGGCGCGTAAGGCTGACAACCTTACCGCCATCTTTGAGCCGATTGTCTAGATAATGTGGGACCCTCGACATGTCAACCCTGTGGGCCTCCATGGCCTGTTGCAGGGATAGCTTTACTTTACTTACGTTTTTATTTTTTGTAGTTTGTAGTTTATTTAATGACACTCTCAGTAACTCTGTTGATATAGCATAGAATGACTGGATGCAAATTAGTAATGAACGGGAAAGGTTGTGAAATGAAGCAGTCATGAAATAATTTTAAATCCTGCCTTGGCATTTATCTGAAGTGATAGAACTGTGAAAACTTCAGTTACACTAGTTGATGTCCTGACCAAGATTCAAAACAAGTACTTCCGAATACAAGTCATAAGCATTACTGCCTCAGCCAGCCTGTTGCCTAAGGAACATTTAAGATATCTGTTTGCCCAGTCACTAGAGACAAGTTGATTTAATAAGTTGATGAGTAGCAAATAGATGGTAGACCAGGCAGTCAATTCAAGGACTGGTTCAATACAGACTTCAGTGAAACTGGGATAACACAGTTGGTATAGCGACTGGCTAAGGGTTGGATGGCTGAGGGATCAAAGTTTCAGTCCTGATAGGTGCAAGATTTTTGTCCTATCAATGTCAACCAGTCCATTTCTGAGGCCTGCCTAACCTCCTATCAAATGGTTGCCAGGGGCTGTTTCCCCAGGGGTAAAGTGGCCAGAGCTTGAAGCTGACCACTCCCCTCCAATTAACACCAAGGTCATGAGCATATGGATCTGTACATCTACTCTCCCATATGTCTTCATGGCATAGTGCTTAATTATTTAAGCAAAGGGACTTTACCTAGCCTGCCAATTAAATGACCTTTACAGAAATTTTGATCCAGCATATCAATATATGTTTACAATACAGTGACCAGTTCCTTTTGCTGTTATGATGCTTTCACACTGTTATGTGTTTATCAGCATATGCTTTTGTTGCACTAGAAAAGTTAAAAAAAAAGGACACAATGCCGTACAGTCTGGTAGATGTTTAGTAACATTTAAGAGGAATGTGTAGCCTTCATTTTAACTGTTCAGACCTGAAGATCTCGGCATGTGCCTATAAGACGACATGGTGTCAGAGTCTAGAAAACATCTCAGTGCAAACATTCACCACCATGAAAACCTGTAAACATGTGGTGTGTTTAACAAGGATAACACAGATTTTGCCGCAAGTATAACGTTGTATTATATCATGTGGATGCATGTTAAAGAGGCTCAAGTACATGGTCACAGTACTGTAAAATTTGTTCCCATATGTCACAGAGTAACAAACTACAAGGATAAATGTGTGTTTTCAGACAGCAGTTAAATATTATGATGCAGCTTATGAGTATGGAGTTAAAAAAGTGAAAGATGTGGCATTTAAATGGCTACTCATCAATCTATTGAGTTATTTCCCAGAGCAGTCGAAAAACCTCCGTGAAATCAGGTAATGTGTCTCCATGTTGCTGTGTCTCGTATGCTTGTTTAACTGTGACCAAAATTGTGTTTTATATTGTGGTACTCGTTTCACAACAAGTCATTTTGATTATATGGCAGGATTTATGACAGGAAAAAAGAACACTAGACGTGTTTGTAAAAACAAAACCATTGTGCATAAATAAGAGTATAAAATGGCTGAATTCATTGGGCATCATTCATTTTGTAGGGAACCCTAGTGCTTTAAAATGAGAACAAAGGGAATGACTGAGAAAACTGTTAAGTATATTATTGACATAGGTGAGGGGTCAGACTTTGTGGGAGATATGCCAACATACCAGAGGAGTGGAATGAGGACGCTGCCCATACACAGACAGTTGGAGATGTGCTGTACACAAATGATCTCACAGCAGTACACTTTACTGTGAATGGGTTTCAGTAAGCTGTGGTGTACAGATACCGATAAATGTTCAGCTAGGATTCAGCAGAATATCTATGAAATATAACACAGTTTAAAATGACATATGGTATGGAAGGATACTGGTGGGAACGCCAGAAGGAAAGATACCACTAGAAAGACCAAGGCATAGGTGGGTGGACAATATTAAAATGGATGTTAGAGAGATAGGATGGGATGGTATGGTTTGGATTGATCTGGCTCAGGAGGGCTCTTGTGAACACGGTAATGAACCTTCGGGTTCCATAAAATGTTGGGAAGTTCTTGAGTAGCTACAGAATTGGCGGCTCCTCCAGAAGAGCTCAGCTCCATGAGTAAGTAAGTAATACGGTATGGAAGTATGAGGTGTATGGGAAATATGGAGCTACTGCAGAAGGAATAAAAGGGTAGGTGTAACATGTTGGAGCCTGAAAATGTGGAAAGTTAAAATTTCCCTTATGTCCTGGAGAGGAAGGTGTATATATTTTATTAAGTTGTACTGAGATGAGAAAGTGGACAGATGAATTATAGTGTTAGAAGCGTTGAGCAGTTAATCAGATATTTGCTGACATAGAAAAATAATCATACTGGCAAAAGTTATCTTAGAGACTCAAATAAATATTAAATGCAAATGGGGCAGCAGAATATGGAAGACTCAAAATTTATAAAGTTCAGTATGCAAATAAGAATTACACGATATTAAATTAAAATCGGATAATATGAAAGCATGCACACAACTGCAGCGTACTTCAGGACTGTATAACACATCGACCTGTGTTGGTGTGGAGCTGATGTGGCCATATGTAAATTAAAACAATCAATTTATCTTGAGTTGGATCATGTACATTGTTTCCAAACACTTCTGATATTCTTCCCTCAAAATAAGCGACCATGTTTCCAACCATGAAAAACAACTGACGGGGCCCATTACTTTTCCTTTTAGCGTTGATCTGATGGAGAAGCTGATTTCTAACCCAGACCTGTTTGTGATGCAGACAGAGTTCTCTATCTATGTATTGCTCCGATTCTGGATGTTTCTGCAGCTCCATCCTGAACGAGACTCTTCAAGAGAGAGCGTTCTGGAAGCACAGCAGTATTTTCAGAATCGGAAAGGTGAGATGAAAGTCACATTACATTGCACAGTGACATCCTAATTTGATGAATTTCTGGGGAATGACTGTTCTTACAGTATGCTGTGTCATTTTCATTAAATAAAGGTTAGATGCCTGATGAAGTTTTTCGTCTTCTTGTAAGACTTAATTTATATGGTAATGATAAAATAATTTCTTTGCAGAAGTAATTAATTTGTTTCTCTATAAGTGAATACAGTTTTTACAGCATCATTAAATGAACCATAAATAAATAAATAAATAAATTAACCTAAATAAAGACTGTTGTATCCTGACAGAGGTTTTCGATGCTATTATTCGCTCCTGCGTGTGAAATACTAGATTAGTGCCTTAAAAATGCAACTTCCTTTCATATCCTTTCATTTCATCATCCTACCATTCAACATTCAATAAAAGTAAATGTATCCCCGTAACAGGCCGTGGAGGCCCATAGGGTTGTGAGATGTTGAGGTTCCCACATTTTCTAGACAATCAGCTCATAGATGGCGGTAGGGTTGTCAGCCCTACGCGCCAGCCGCCCACAATAACACATGAAATTTAAAAAGTGTCATCAACCCAAAAGTCAGTCAAAGAAAAGGTGTTGTCAACCCAAAAATCAGTAAGAGAAAAGTGTCTTCAACCCAAAAATCAGCCAGAGGAAAAGTGTCAACTCATAAAACAGTCACAGAGAAAATGTCATCAACTCAAAAATCGGTGAGAGAAAAAGGGTTGTTGATTGCAGATGAAGAGCCGTTCCTAGTAACCAGAGAAGGCAAGCGCTTTGCTGGTCCATTTGAAGCCTTGAGACTTCAGCACCTAGTGAATCACCACCTGGATATCGATATGCTGAAATGCGATCGAATTGTTCCACAGGATTGGCTGGCTCCACTTGTGTCACAGCAGTGGTACCGCATGTTGAGGCTTGACCAAGGCCTGGACAGGGGGTAAGTATCAGACTTTTTCCTGAATTAGAGGCCTGCCAATTGACTGCAGCAGTAGTAGCCCACTGATTCAACATCACCAACACCAGCACTGGTTTCAGTTCTGTACCTATTCCATACACTTCACATCCTTATCATACAGGGACCAGTTTGGGGCTTGTCCAGTCTCTTATCTGCTGGGTACCGGGTGCAGTGGCCAGAGCATGAAGCTGACCACACATCTCAGTGCAGAGCTGCAGTTGAGAATGTGTGATTCTTAATTAAGCACAGGAAAAACTTCACCATTATCTCATGCCATAAGTTGGCTCAGTACTAATTCATGGGTCTCTATGCAGGAAGTGCCCTGTATGAATCTTGGCTAGACCAGTAGATGTCTTAATTGAGGACTTTTATGGTTTTCCTCAGTCACTTCAAACAAATGACGGGGGTGTGCCTTGAAGTAGGTAACATCCACTTCTTTCGTTATGGCCAGTAGCAGAAAACCATCAGTTTGACCCCAACATGTTGGGCCCAGGGTCAAGAAAAGACAGGTTGTGTTTTACTATCAGTAATTGTGATAACACATTAGTGATGGCAGTTAATACAAAGTTTACTGTGTTCTAGAATAATGCTGTGTGGACTGGTACAAAGGTGCGAGTGTGTCAGAGGAAGTTGCTGCTTCCAGCCACATCTTCTAGAGTCTAGAAGACAGAGGCAATGGGTACCTCCAAAACTTTCACCTTTTTGTCAGACCACATGCCTTCACATCCAAGAGGACAGTCATATTTAAGAAGCGTAGTCTCCCAGTCTATAACGCCATAAGCAGAAGTCCCTCGACAGTTCAGAGGAATGTACTGCCCCCATCAGCAAGCCAAGCAAGAAGCTTGGTACCTGCTTTTTACAAGTTTCTTGCTTGGCTTACTCTTCTTCCTTGAAGATGGAAGGAGTTCATACCTCCAAAACGTTAGTGAACTTCTACCAGACTACACAGTGTCACACCCCAGAAAATAGTGCTGTTCGTAGTCACTGCTGTGAGACCTTCAAATTTATCATAGCAATTGTCACAATATGTGCATTGCTAGTACTTCCAGGTATGGTTTGTGTTGGCCTTCCAACCTTCTGACCATCCTGGCAGGGGTACTGAATACATTTCTGACATGATAACAACCAAAGAACAGGCTGGTAATACTGCAAATAATATAAACTGTCTCCTGGACGTCCCGCTGTATTCCAGTCTTCAAACTGACCACATCTGTAGTTGTGGTATTATTTTGAGCAGTTGGTTGTATGGGCAGTCAGATTGCTGGTCCTGAATATGTTACAAATAAGAAAGTGTTTTATGTAGTGGTGTTACATATGGATGTGATATGTTTCAGGCCTAAATCAATGGGAAATGAAGAGTTCTGCAGAGACTGTGTTCGCTGTGGGAGAACATTAGTGAATGCAGGTGAACATGTTTGGAGGTGGACTGGTTTTAACATGGGACTCGACCTGATCTGGTCGTGCAGTACTCATACCCTTCGAGTGAAAAGGAATCATCACACAGAACATGAGGTGATGCTGAGCATGCAGTCTCGAAGACATATTCTTTGCAGGTGAGCGTCAGGTAACGGATAACCTCAGTTTCTGTTGCATTACATTTACCGTTAAAGGAGATCATACATACCAGGTTTTTAACACACTAACTTGCCAGTTCACCTTATTAAATCACCTTGTTATCCTCCCTAATGTTGTACAGAGAGCATCTGCAATGGCTCTCACCATAGTCATTTGTATGTCCCTTGTGGATCAACTTGACTGCCTCTGTGGTCTAGTGGTCAGAGTTCCTGACTACAGATCCAGAGGTCCCGGGTTCGATTCCCGGCACTACCAGATTTTCTGAGAAGCAGTGGGTCTGGAACGGGGTCCACTCAGCCTCGTGATGATAATTGAGGAGCTATTTCAAGGAAACAGCGGCTCCAGTCTAGAAAAACGAGTTTAACGGCTGTGGGGATCCGTTGCACTGACCACGCGACACCCTCTGTCCGTTAAAGTTGGCATTAACTTCGCCGACAAGCAGTGGTCGCTCGGTCAGTGTAGTTCACTTACGAACTAGAGGCCACAGAGTTTTCTTTTTGTGTGTGTGGAACAACTTATGACAAAGCCTCCTCCAATGTTCTCTGTCCTCCATACATAGTCTTCCTATGTCCATCTCCATTGTTTCAGTACTGTGTTTCTTATCTCTTGTTCTTCTTCCATTTATCCTTTTTGTCACCTACAGCCCCCTGTTCCACCCATGCCACTCCTTCCATCTTTCTGTTTGGCCAGCTCACGGGCTCCCCTTGGTTTGCCCAGTGCTTGTATGTTGTCCTATATCTGTACTACTTCTCTTCATGCTTTCCTCACTCTGCTTTATGGAAGCAGTACTTCAGATATCAGCACATTTCTACCAGATAACATGGCATCACACCTCAGAAGATGGTACTCTTCACAGTGACTGCTGTGAGAACCTCATATCTTACTTTTCTTTCACTGTTTACACATTCTGATATTACATAATGTTCTGGTTCCAGTACCCGTTGTGTTTGCCACAAGAAACCGCATTCCATTATCCCTTCTTGTTTCATTTGTAACACTCCACGGCAGTTCATATTCTCTTGTAATCTGCCACTTGGCATATTCATATTTATATTCCGTATATCAGAATGACCACTGCCTGTTGGGAAATTGAACAGTAAATGTATGGCACAGGGTTACCTCTCGTCAGAAGAAGATTTTTATCATGTTAGGTCTTCATTACTTGCATCCTGTTGTGTGTCATCAAGGGTACTAAGGTAGCCAACAACACAACAGTCTGTGAGTAAATAAAACTAATATTAATGTGTTAATTTTTTTTAACCTTTAACATATTGTCACGTGTTGGGTATGTAATGCGACAAATAACTTCACGCTGTATTAAATATAGCGAATTTGTTCCGCATTCGCTCATACACTTATACAATTCACAATTACACGATTACTGCCATCAGCAGTATCACAATTACTTCCACTGCACTCGGCGACTTCACGATCCACACTGTGTCACTCCTGATCACACACTCTGCTCACATACTGCTCAGCCTGCTTTGCCTTGTGTTAACAGTGGTGTCCCCTGTTACGTCACAGTGGGAAGTGCTGTTATGTCACCGCAGGGGTGGGGGGGGGTGTTTACTGGCCTGTTACCATAGCAGCAGCAGTGGCGCCAATGCTGTTATGTCACCACTGGAGGGGGTGTGTCCTGCATAGTGCAAATACGTCACAATATAATAAGACAGTTACACGATGCATGTGCAAATTTTACGAAAATTTTGAAATTTTTATGGACCAATGTTAGTCAGACAATTCAGTAACAACTGTATACACTTATGTCACCACCTGAAAATGATCACATTGATTGAAACGTGTAGTGATGTGTAGTACAAACAAATATTATCACATTGATATTAGCTTTGTTTACTCACAAAACATCGTGTTGGTGGTCATATTAGTTCCGCCCCATATTATTAGTTGTCATGCCCATTTCTCCAGTTACGTGTGTCTCAGAAATGAGACAGAATTTCATCTTGGGTATGGTTCTAATAATGGCCCCTGTTTTATGTTTGCAGGGTGACGTTAGTGTCTCTAAATGAACAAAGACAAGTGAAGCACACACAGTCCACTGGTCTAAAGAGCCTGTCTTTGTTCAAGAATGAGGAGGTAGATATACGTCATTATTATTTCACAGATATAGAGCTGGAAAGCAGTTGCGTGTGATTTTTGTATTGAATTGCTTTCAGTATGGCTTCTTAAATTGTTTAGAGTCATTGCATCTTATAATCATCTGCATGAGTGCACCTTGCAATAGCAGACAGTTCTCTTTTACTGTGTGTCACGTATGAATTTTCCACTAAAATGTTCCAAAACCAGACAGATGGAAATTTTCTTTGTCTAGTAACTATGTTGACACTAGTTGACTTGCAGATTTATATAGCACAGATTCTCTGTATAGAAACTAACCAACTCGATGGTGCAGGGTCATTCTACAAGAGCTCATAGTCTCCCTAGCTGATAAACAAATTCCTGATTTTATGGAACTAAAATAATTTGTTACAGGGTAAGGTAAGGTAAGGTAAAGTTGTCCCTGTGCTTAACTATTTAACACTTTGCGGAGTGGTGGCATATTTTTATGCCCAGCACTTTTAAACATGGCGGACTGGTGGCATATTTTTATGACTTTAGGACACGTTAGATTGTAACACATAATACCTTTCTCTGGCGCCACCCAAATAAAATGACTACTGCATAATATTATTCTGGAATGTTTGCTTAGTAGGCAATAACTTGATCTCACTGTTTGGGTACCCCTTCCAAAGGAAAATTATCTTTGACCCTTCAAGCTCTTATGTACCAGGCAGGAAGTTAGTTGCGCAATGAGTCAAGGACAGAAGCGGTTGAAAACCAAGCAATACTGACATGTTCTCCAACGTGCTATCTGACGTGAGCTATTTGACATTCCGTCTGAGATGTGTAGTGATAGTGATTTGACAGTGGCAGTGGCAGAGGACAACAAACAATTGTGGCTACAGACAATAAAAGTGAAAGTAGCTCTGACGAAAGTGCAGGTAGAAGGGGAATGTTTCCAGAAATATCACACTCTCAGCACTTCTAGAAATATTGGTAAGTGTTCTCCAAAAATTTTAGTTCATGAAATTAATTAGGATATTTTATATTAATTTTTAAAGTGAACAATGCACAAGTTAGGGTAGTGGGTTAAAAAATGCCGGTCCCCAGGGTGATTTAAATATTTAAATTGCCGGTCCGCAAAGTGTTAAGCACTACGCCATGAAGGCATATGGGGGAGTGGATGTGTAGATCCACATTTTCTTGACCTTTACTCTAGTTGGAGGTGAGTGGTAAACTTCACACCTCAACCGCTTTACCCCTGGTGAAAGAGCCCCCAGTACCAATTGGAAAGGAGGCTGGGTTTACCTCAGAGCCGGTCTGAACAATGTGGAGAAGAGAAAATTCTTGACCCTACCAGGATTTGAACTCGACACCTCAGTCGTCCACCCCATAACCAGTCACTATACCAACAGGGTACCAAACCGGATTACATATTTCTGCTCTGTGACGTTGAAAGGGATAATGATTGTTATCATGTTTCAGGTGACACTGCTGGTGCTTGACAAAGATCTCACATACCCATTGCTTCTGTCCGTCAATCTGCTGTTCAGTTCCCCTGTTACTTCATCCCAAGAATCAGGTTTGACGGATGGCCTTCCATTGCCATCACCAGCACAAATTGTCATCCAAGAACGTTAGCCATGTGAGGAATTTTAACGAATTGAAATCCATGAATGCACATCTTGAAAAGAAAAACTATCCTGCACAGAAAACAAAACTTTATATACAAACATATTCTTTCAGTTTTTAAAAATTCTAATTGAAAATTTCTCCCATATGGAGGTGGGCTAGAATACCTCCATCATAGCCCTGTGGGTCATAGAAGGGGATGAAAAGGGAACCTGGTGGCTGGGGTATAATCCTGTCACTGGGGGACATAAATACAGAGACCTGGGCCTCCAGGTTGGGCATTGCACACAAGGTTTATGACATAGCTCTGTAAAAACATTACGGTTGCAAAATGCAAAGAAGTGAAAAGTGGGAGGTGTGTTTGCAACTCATAGCCAGGAGTAAACAAATTTGGCAAAACCTTCGAAGGAAGGCTGTGGCTGAAAAAGGGCTATTTTATCAATGATATTGACTGAAAATTTAAATTGTTTGTATATCTGGATTTGATCCTTTGAAATTTGTTTACATTCTGTGCTATTGTTTGACAAGTGGAAGTTTGTGTATTACTGGTTTTTAATTTGAAAAATGAAGGGTATATGTAGTTACCAGGTTTGAGGGTTGAATGCAATGAATTCTTCCGCAGGACCCGTGACCTTGAGATTTGTTGCCATGTTTCAAGAGATGAAATTTCTACCAGTCATAGCAGTGTCAATGCTGCTTTAATATATAGTACTTTATATTTTTGTCAGACTTTTTTTTATTGTAATGCATGTTAATGTTTGATTGTTATTATTATTTTATACAAAATTAATATTTATTTTATTAAATAAAATAAAAAATACTAACTAAATAGATATAAGATGTGTATTGAAGCTGCAAGTCTCTGAAGGGTTCTCTGACATGTATTGTTTTCATTCCATTACTAATTATTAACACTGCATTTAATATTGTGAAGTTACTCCTCATCAATTTGTCACATAAATTTGGCAAGGCATTTCTGTATTTTCTTCAGGCCTACTATGTCATTGCATTATTGCATTCAGAAAAGTGATGATGGAGTGGGAAGTTTTTTACCGTCAGTTAAACTTCAACGTGGAGCATCTAACTCCTGTGTAACTTACTGATAGATTACACTGTGATTACAGTAGACCGGCCACAGCCTTTGGGAATTCTAGTAAGACTGTAAATGCCATACATTCCCCCTGTTATGTATTTTAGCATTAAACACATGCTATATTATGGCTGGTGTCATCCATAGAAAGTGGTACACAGAGTTTGGTCTGACAGTTGAAATGAAGTAAGAGAGTTAGCTGTATGTTCTCACAGCAGTAATTATCAAGATTACTCTTAAGCTGGAGCAGCAGGTTCCTTCAAAATGTTTGTACTTATCTGTCAAATTACATGACTTCATATCCCTCAAGAATATTTTACATACATAAAAGTATAATTACTCATACATACAAGCTGTTTAAGTGAATAAATGTACTTGTGACTTAAGTGACCGAAAACATATTATTTTATGCTTGTACTCTTCCACTAAAAACTGCAATTTATTTGAACAACTGTGAAGCAATTGGTATTTATATTTATCATCAAATATAAAGATCAGTATTCTAGGATCTTATTTTATTTTATTTTCACCCAACATATTTCATCTTCAGGATGTGAATTATAATATTTTCTAACCTGAGATTTAACCCTTCTCATGTTGTATGCAACATATTTTGCATGGGAGATTTTCCCTTGCGTGTTGTTTGTGACACGTTCTACAAGTGCCTTCCTGTCTCTCCATGTCAAACACAATGTACTGCAATCTGACATCCATTTACATTGCTGTTATTTGAGCTTTGTGAGTGGAACCAGATGGCAAGAATGGCTGCTTTATCTGCCTTCTGGCTATTTTAAAATTATTATACACAATAAAATGAAGCACGCATATGGAAATACATATTGCCTAAAACTTTTTTTGTCCCAGCATGATAAAATATATTTCCTTGAATCTCATAACTAAATTTGAATCCCATTCTAGAAATACAAGTGTATTCGGTAAGTATATATAAAAAGAAAAAGGAACTAAAGTGATTAAGCAATACCATTTGTTACTGAACATGTCTGTTAATGGGAAAAATAGTATATGTTCACTTTTAAATTTCTGCTGTATTTTTATGGGATCTTCAAAGTTTGATCTGTAAAATGATCTGGTAGATTGAATGGCCATTTTGAATTTATGTGCTCATTGCCATAATGGTTATCAGTTGTTTGTGTGGAAGTAAAGATGGTCAGATATTGTAACTGAACATACTTCTCCATCTGCTGCTGAGTTTCAAGTATACAGTCTTCCTCTGAGTAGACTTGCCACCTGTCCAGATGTGATACAGTTTCCAGACAAATTGTCTCTGGGTCCTGGGTCACCTGATGAAATAAGATGTTAGTAGAATTTATATCTTACATCATATTTCCATTTTACAATTTGAAACACTGAATAGCAGGACACCTTATGGCAAATTACTCAGTTTTGTTTCGTTTATACATTGATTTGATATATTGGCAGTGCTGTGAATTTGTTCAGACCAGAAATCATAGGAATAAAACACGTTTTTGATATTGAGATTGTGTTGTTCAGTATTTCTACAGTAGCTGTAGTTTGTAAACTGTGGACTTCATGACTTAAATCATGGATTGTACAAATTAATATTAAACTGTCTGTAGTGCGATTTTAGATTAATAAACTAGTGAATGTAAATATTAAACAATTATTCCTTTTATTGTCATATACCTAAAATGTAAAGAGAAATACTAAACCAGTGTTTGGCTACTAAAAGAATTATTAGTTATAACTTGATGTCAAGTCACTGAGAGCGTAAAATAACTGTGTTATGTGGGTATACAGAAACGTTAAAGTTTCTAATGCAAAAAAATAACTTTTGAATTCCTGCAATTGGAGTGTGAAAATGCTCTGTGGTATGTTATAACAACATGACTGTAATTTTTTAAGTTTGTTGAATGCATTCAAAGTTCCTGGCCAATGATAAAACTATACAGTAAGAAGAAGACAATATTGATAACATAATTTGGAGATTTATAAAAGATCATAAGATAAAATTCCGAGTGATATCAAAGCTCAGCTGTTCCTTCCTGAATGTTATGTTTATATTCAATTTTAGTCAAATACATTACAGTACAGAACATTTCATTACTAGATCATGACATTGTTGTGAGTTCCAGAAATACATGAAGTAATTTGTACATTAAAAGTAAAGCCTGATTGCAGGCTGAAAGGTATAGGATTTTTGGCAAAAATGTAAGGACAAGTTTAACCTAGAGGATGAAAACAATTTTATAAGAGATAATGTCATATGTTTAGTGCTTGGAAGTTGACTGTCTCAGTAAATAGTACAACTTTGAGAATAATATACAACGTTCTCCAGTCCTCCACATTGTTGCAGGTCCCTATCATGCTCTATTGTGAGAGCAAGAACTTAAATAGTTTGCAGCCTCTGTACACCTACAGAAGCTGTGAAATGTTCCTGTACAGTCATGGAAAGATCAGCAATAAGTTTTGCTAACTGCAGCTGCATTTTCCAAAAACACTTGAACTACATATTACTAACTCAATGAATTTCAGAACTGTGCTGTATGGTAATGTAATTCATTTGAATCTGAATTCCAATTTTAACTCAGTAAGTTACAAATCATTGGTTAGGGGACATTAAGAGGAACGTAGAGGAATAAGATTCATGGGGCCCACATTTTTCTAGTAAAGACATGATCAAAATTCTATTGTAGAAAAGTAGGATCGTGTGGGATGTGAAGCTGTGTAGTCTGGTAGAAGTTTATCGACGTTTAGGAGGAATGTACGGTTCTCTGCATATTACTTGGCCTACTCTTCGGCCCTGAAGATGGAAGCAGTACGTTCCTTCGAAACGTCGGTGAACCTCTACCGAACCACACGGCGTCACATCCCAGCGGATACATAATCACTGCCCCGAGAACCTCAAATCCGCCAAATTCAATTTATCCAAGGATGAGTTATGTCTGGAATCTCATTATTTCCTCCATAGGTCTCGCACAGTTTATGATGCCTCTTTTGGGGCAGGGGGGGGGATCTAAAAGAAAAAAAATTAGTGGAATTCGGTCTATTTCGGTGCCGAGTTCGTGTAGAATCGATCGTTGTAGTTTAAGAGAACTGGGGAGGGTCTGTTAAAGAGGGGAAAGCGGGTCCCTCCACCTCACCCCTGCTGATAAAGTCGCCCCTCTCCCTGTCCTCTCTTGGTGCCCTAGCTTTGCGTGTCGCAGAGGCGCGAGGCTCTAGTAGCCGACACCATCACGGTTATCACGGTAGACTGTAACAGTGGAGCGCTGTGACCGGAAACAGCTAGGGTAAAGGTGAAGAGATCAAAGGACTGCTGCCATTCGCTTGCCGCCTTCCTGGGACGGCGAAGAAGCAAGGGACGAAATAAACAGTGTGAATAGTGAATCTTGTGGGTGCTTTTTTTAATTGAACCTTTTCATTGTGGAGTGACCGAATCACAGATATAAAAACAGAAATGGAAGGACTGCGGATAGCCGCTGTGACCACAGCGATTGTTGTCTTCTTAGGATTCCTAACTTCCAGTGGTGAGTACTGCACTGAAGATCGAGAAGTGACGCTACCAGCGAAGCTGTCAACAATTGCTGGATATACTGAGAAATAATACTGTATCGTAGCGTCCTGTTGCACATCACGTATTTATTCCTTGTTATTAACCGTCTTGCATGCAAATTGCTTTTTAAAGCCTTTACAAGTTTTAAACTTTAAAATCTATATCAGCGCAATGTCCACACTATATGTTTCGACAAACATTGGTTATTTTCAGGTGCCTCTAAAATTGCTGATGAAACTACTGTACTTCCGTCCGTAAGTTCAATTTATGGAATATGCCCACGTGTCCTATGGTAATAGCTAGTTCTAATTGTGTCATCAGCAATTTTAGAGACACCTGAAGATGGCCAATGTTGGTAGAAACATGTAGTGCGATGCAGGAGAAAGTTTAATGTTTAAAACTCTTAAAGGTTTTAAGAAGAAAGTTGCATGTGAGACGGCTAATAACTAAAAAGGACTAAATTACTGACAGTTAGCAATGGCTGCTTAACGTAGGCCTGTACGCAGGATGTTGTTCAATCAAATGTAACATTGATACCAGGACCGCTGAAATATCAATGAGTGTACTGAGCAGGATGGTGTAGCGGGTGTGCCCTAGACTCCTCCAGTCGGTCCAACCAAATGATACGATAGTGCGCCTTTTAGGTGACGATCGTTTCCTTTCATATCCTTTCTAATTCATTATTCATCAATCACCCTATCATTCGACCTGCGAACTGAGCAGGTCGATGTAGCGGTAATGGTTGGGGCTTGTATTCGGAAGAGTCTGCGTTCGGATCTTGTTCGGGGTACCCGCTATCCTGACAAATGTTTTTCGAGATTTTGCTCAGCCTCTCCAGGCAGATGTTGGGCGGGGGGGGACCTCGATGGGGCCAAGCCGCTTCCTTCCAGATCTCTTTGCAATTCGTTATTCACCAATCGGCCTATTATCCAGTGTTATATACTGGCCGTGTTATAAAGGGAAAGCTATCCCTGTAACAGGCCGTCGAGGCCCATTGGGTTGTGAGACGTCGAGGCCCCCACATTCTCTATAGTGGGCTGAGAGATGGCGGTTAGGTTGTCAGCTTTACGCGCCGACAACCCTTTACCCCCCAGGAAGATTCCTGGTACTCATTTCTGTTAGAGGCCGAGTCGACCCCAGGGCCATAGTGCGGCTGGAAGTTTTAAGTCAATGGAGAAAATCCAATGACCTTATCGGGAATCGGGCCGCTACTTTCCGGCTTGTAGCATAGTGCCCCCCCCCCTCAATGTTATAAAATAAGCCGCAAAAATATCCATGAATTTTCTGAGAAGCGACACTCAGTAATACCTCACTTTGCACGTTACAAATGATAATATAATGAGTATAATTATTACTAGCGCTTCTAGACGGCTACGTTAGTTTGCAGTATAAAGTTACCACATGTGCGTTATGTTACAATCAAACATGTGTCGTGTAAGATTTGAGATTTTCACGGCGGTGACTAGGAAGAAAGCAGTCTTCTGGGATGTGGCGCCGTGTAGATATTGTGTTAACTGACGTTTCGGATGAACGTATCGCTTCCATCTTCAGGGCAGAAAAAAGAAGAAAATCCGCGAGCAAAGAACCAGCTCGCTCGCGATACGTTCCTCTGAAATGTCGATTAGCACAATACGAGTATCTACACGGCGCCCCATCCTAGAAGACTGCTTTCTTCAAAGAGATGTCATATTCACTGATGAACGAGACACACGAAATAATTTGTTAGAAACTGCGCAGTCTCGGTGCAGATAACCTTGGAGGGGGGGAAAGGTATGTGATAAAAAGAGATGTAATAATTATAAGTGACCAAGCTGCAAAAATGCGTAGTATTAGTCAGTAAAATCTACGTCGCCATTTTATGTCCAATTTGCTTGTTGCTTGAATATTACGTGCCTCTGTTTTACTGCGACTAGGATGATGTCAGGACGTATATAAACTAAGGAATGTGTGTCTTGTTTAAAGAACAGAACTGGGGTAGGCCTAAATCATGAAAACTCAAATGCAGTGGTAAAGCCAAGTCCTGAAAAGTCATGTATGTGAAGTAAACATCAAACCACGGATATTTTCCGAAATATTGTGGCATGCAGACCGTTGATAGGCAACGACCGCGAAACAAATAACAATACAACAGCCGTTGCTGACTAATGGCTCTGCAAACAACGGCCGTTGTTAGGCAGTGGCTCAGTAGCGATCACATGGTCATCCCAACAGACAAACGCAACAACTGCACTGCAATGGAGGAATGGTGCTTTCTTCGCGGTCCGTGCTGAGATGTTATAAACAGGACAAGTCAGTGTTGAGTCGGTCAGTGAAGAGTTGGTTGGTGAGGTAGTGAGTGAGTTAGAGGACTGCTGCGGTTCAGTCGTTGTGAGCTGTTTCTGTGAGAAGCTGATAGCTGGGCCAGGTAGTTTGGGAACCCACAGGAAGGGGAACGTCCGCCGTAGGAAGTCGCTACCAAGCAACGGCTACTGAAGACTGCAACAGACAGAAGACCTGGTGTGTCCTAGAGTGATTCGTGAAGTGTAGTAACGAGGTGTATACGTGTCCAATTCAAACCCCGTCTATAGTCGCTTCTGTCAAGTGACAATATTTAGCAATATGAATGTTCTAGTTTTCTGAAGGGTATCCGTTATTCGCAATAGTCACAAAGTTAATATCATTTACAGAATTTGTTTAAGTCTCTAAATAAAAACTACATTGTTAACAATACAACCTTGCCAACTGTAAAAACTGACGAATGTAAGGGGAATAGCAGAGAGCTGAGAGTGACTGTATGAGTACTACCTGATGATGGCCAAAAATAGTGGCCGAAACGTGTCGTAATTGTAGAATCTGTTTAGTTATCATAGAATTATATACATATATAGCGAGAGTGAAACCAACTCACTGCGCTCTGTGTTGTACCCGTACTGATGGGACTGACTGTGGTGGCTGGAAGCGGCGTCCTAAGTCATGTTGCACCTTGCTCGGGATAGGAACCCGGGGCTGGCGCGTGTGAACACGGCAATGAACCTTCACGTTCCACAAAATGAGAACAAGTCCTTGAGAGGTGATTTGATTTTCAGAAAGGATTCCAACGCACATAATTAGTTCAGTTTTTATCTTATAAAACAAAAAAACCGTGGCCTGTAGTCCGCAAGCGAACTATGCCGACCGAGCGACCGCCGTTTGTCGTAGAAGTTGGTGCAAACCTCAGCGAACAGAGGGTGTCGCGTGGTCAGCACAACGAATCCCCACGGCCGTTAATTTCGGTTTCCTAGGCCGGAGCCGCTATTTCCTTGAAATATATCCTCAATTATCATCACGAGGCTGAGTGAACTCTGTTCCAGACCCACTACTTCTCAGAAAAACTGGTAGCGCCAGGAATCGAACCCGGGACCTCTGGATCTGTAGCCAAGAACTCTGACCACTAGACCACAGAGGCGGCATTTATTACCTTATCATTCGGTTAGAAATATGTACTTCATTTGGGCGGTAAGTATTTTTAATTGTACAGAATGGTACGACATTACAGAGGTGTACGCGGGCCGCGGGATGCTTCCCTTGCACTGAGCATGTTCATACAAAGGCTCCAAGATAACACCGTCGACACAGCGCGGAAAGCCGTTATCAGAAATGCAGTTACCTAACTTCCCGGGGTCGCATATCCTGAATGAGGATTTCTGTCGTTTTTAGGCGTGACGGGGAAGTCATATTTGTCCTTTCGCATCTCCGAAATTACTGAGCGGCCTGCGATTACGTTTATTTTTATGCGCTCAACAGAAACTGGCGAAAGAATTGAATTTTGTGTGAGATTCGAGATTTTTAACGAAACCTAAATTTACATTTATTTTTATAGTTATAAAACAGTATGGTATCGCAGGTGGTTACAAACATTTCGGAGGAATACACTGACTCTGTCTTCAGGGTAGATGAAGATGGAAGCAGCATTTCCCTCCGACATGTTAGTAAGATACACTGTTCCATAAGTCAAAAACAAAATCTAAATTTGATACTGGTTTGTGTCGAATATAAATCCAATTTTACGTGTGCCCCACAAAACGCTCAGTTACGAGGAAAAGTGAAAAAGTGAAGATAATTTTAGTTTATCTCTGCAGTGAAGGACACAGCAGGTGTAAACACTATGGCTCTCCTCTTACCTTCATGTAGTTGGATTTAATTTTCTTTTTAGTGATGATAATATCGCCCAACTTTTGAACTGGTCGTTCACTGGAAAAAATTGTGAGGAAGAACAATGATTCGTGACCAGAGGCTGTGGAAACTAGTGACATCTATAAAAAAGCCGCGGTTCGGTATAGTCTTCGTACTGTAGCAGTCAGTACGAAGACTAGACGGAGTCAGACAAGAGTAGACTGGAGGGAAAGGGTGTCTTTTGTTGATGACAACATCCATCATCGTATCGGGGACAACCTGAGAATCGAAGTAGATGGCTCTGCCAGCAGTAGTCTCTTTGCTGTCATCTGTTGCCATTTACATGAACCAATATTTATTTACTATTTACTGAAATCTGAATTGGACTGGATTGTGCTTACGCGGAGTGGAGCTCCTAGTAGTAAAATAAAGTATAACATGAAGTTCTGTAAAGAACGCATCGCCTACTTTACTTCGATAGACGTGAACCGCATAGAAAACGATGCCTCCAACAATTCTACGTTGCCGCGGGACCGTCTGTACCGAGTTGTTACCTAGCAACTACAGGGGAATACCCGCAGAGACACACGTGTCCAACATTTCAAGTGAACTGAACTGAATATCTGAAAATGCGTTCATCCACTGCTCTGTTGCGGACGGACGAACGTGAAGAAGCCAAACGCCTGTCGTACAGAGGTGACCCACAACCGAAGACGGAGGGAAAAAACAGAACAAGCCACTGCATTGTGCACTGCTGGCAGTCTGCTTGTCGGGCGAAACTGGGTCGGCTCTTATCGACTGAGAGAGACTTCAAACCGTGGGGAGGAAAGAGACGGAGGCCAGTATTTCGGACTTTCGGGTTCCTTCCATTTCTCTCCATTCTTTCGGTGACACAAGCCAGAGAATAACAAGGCATGGGGGGGGGAGACACTTCCCCTTCCGTCGCTCCCATTCTCTGAAGACAAACAAACGAATAACATTCTATCGAAATGCACGTATCGATTTCAGTGTGGAGTATTTCGCTGGAGAGTTCGAAGTGTTTACTTCTCTGGGAAGATTCCGTGCCTTTGATTAGCAATGAACGCACATCACGTGCCAGGAGCTCAAAGTCAGTTGATTAATTAATAAGCAATATGGGATGATAATTTTAACAGAAGAATCCAAAACAATGGCAGAGAGGCCAACAGCAATAAACAAGAAGTTCTGGGAAGAACTAATCTCCCACTTTCCTCAAAGTCAAGGTCACATTGCGACTGACGGTCAGTCAGTCAGTCAGTCAGTATGTCCTGGTGTCGAGCCCTATGTGAGGCTCATGACCAGATATTTATTACTGTTTGACAGCTACGGTCTTGTTTTGTGGGGCGCCCTCACTGACGAGAGGACGGGTCTGTCTTTTGACCGAGTCACTGTCTGCAAAGTCATTTGTCATAATGTAAATGATATTTATATTTTACATGTTAAACATGATAATAAATGTATTAAATACATGAAGGGCCTCTGTCAGTCCAGGCTCAGTACAGCATATTATGCCCTATTTCTAGTAGCTTCCGCTATAACGGCAGTCTAGTCACTTGAACGGTCGCATGCTTAACCGCCGCCAAGTTCAAGCCTCTTATACTTTCTATGTGGGGCTTGTCCTTGTCCTATATTGCGAACATTTTCGTTATCATGATTTTGTATGACTTCCGCTTGTTGCCTGCATAAGTTTGTTATAATAATCATATACGCACGGAATTTTGAAAGCCATGTGTAAATCGTGAATGGGTGTATGCCTTGGAAAATTTCCAATGGTGCGGAGAACCTTGTTTTGTAGGCGCTGTAATTTCATTTAATGGGTGTCTGCCGCGGATTCACAGGCGAGACTAGTATAGGTCAAAAAATTACGAATATGCTGGTGGTCTAGTTATATTAAATGGGCACGGACCGCACAGAAAACACCGCTCCCAACAGTTCTATTGTTTCGTGTTTATTCATTACCTTGCGATGGCCTGCTTGTATGATGACGTAGGAGCGTGCTTACTGTGTCGTTATCTAGCAACGGATGACGTCTCTCGTTAAACTGTCCGTTAGTTCAGAACACCTATCCCTTTCCTCTTTAAGAATTCTGGATATGCTTTCTATGTCTGAGCAAATGTCTCAGTCTCCTTGAGACATAGCGCCGGCCCAGATTACTGCCGTGGCTACCGTACTCAGCGTCGTTACGTCAAAGCTTGGGGCTTACACGTGCCCCCGGTGACAAGGCGTCACGATGTTAACATACAAATTGGGTGTTTGTTGGACGGCGTCGGCTTCAGGAACTTCGCGTAAATTCCTCCTCAATGTGACGTGCTCGTATTAATTGAGGTTATTAGGAGTAACAGCATCTGCATGATTGATTGATTGGCTGGATGACGTAATTAACTAACGAAAGCACTATTATTAAGTTCAAAATTAATTAAAGATCAATTAAACTGGAGAATGCATGAGCATAAAGGCGAGGGCCCCACGGCTGGTCCGAAATCCACTTCCTCCGTAGACCTATCCGGGCCCAGATCACCATAGGCTCACTGACCGGGCCCACTCGGCTGAAAGTACGTGTAGTAGACCACGAAATTAACATTCTTATGTACTAATCACAGGAGTCGGGATAGTGACTGGCTACGGGCTGGACGACAGAGGGTTCGGAGTCCGAGTCCCGGTAGGGTCAAGAATTTTCTCTTCTCCAAATCGTCCAGACCGGCTCTGGGGTCCATCCGACCTCCCATCCCGTGGGTACCGGGGGCTCTTTCCCTGGGAGTAAGGCGACCGAGGCGTGAAGCTGACCACTCCCCTCCAACTAGTGTCGAGGTCAAGAAAACGTGAATCTATACGTTCAATTCCCCATACGCCTTCATGACGTAGTGCTTAATTAGTTAAGCACAGGGTCAGCTTTATCTTCTTTACTAATCACACCCCGTGTGGAGACGGGTTCGGATACCTCCACCGTAGCCCTACGAGTCGTAGAAAGGGAACCGGTGCCTGGGGGTAAAGCTGGACCACCCCTCACTATCTATGGTTCGTCTGTGCATGCGTGTGGGAGGGCGTAGAGGAGGTTCCTCGATGTAGTTTGCAGAAGTGTCGACCCGTTGATATGTTTCACAGGTGCCCACATTTTGCGCCCTCCGGATGAAGTGAAAGAGGCGAACTTATTAAGCTGATACTTCTGAGTTTAATCCAGTTTAAAAGCTTCTAATGACTGTGTAAATACGGGGGCCTTTTCCTATGTTTTATAGTGGAAAGGGTCCTTTTGAGAGCTTCGAGTTCATGTGTACCAACCACTCCCATCCCAGGGGAAAAAATTTTAGAATTACGAATTTCTTTTCACTAAACAGGAAGAAATGATAGAAAAACAGTTCTCGACATACTCATATTTACTTGTGGTTAAGAACTTCAAAATTCAATATATATTATTAATACCTTCAGATGTAACTAAGTATGAAAATATATCACCAAGTTGTCTCTTGTTTACAATTTATTTTGTATTGCACTACGTAAGGAACATAACTTCAAAATGTGCTTGGACCACTCGCAATTAGTTGTATTTAAGAATGCAAAGCCAATAAGCTTAATTTTAAGGTCTACATTTCTAACACGGTAAAATTCTGAAGTGAAATCCTGTTTCGGTAACTGCAGTGTGGGGAGAGTTCCTCTTATTTCTAACGAACTCGAACCTTAAAATTTTGTTAAAAGTCATTAAAGAAGCCAAACAGAATAACTATAACAGCCAAATTCTAAAATCAAACAATAAAATTAAAACCACCTGGGATATTGTGAAAGTTGAATCAGGAAAGAAATCTGTTAATGAAGACGTACAAAGTTTGAATATTGAAGGGAAGTCCACTAACAATCCACAAGCTATCGCAAGTGCATTTAATGAATATTTCCTTTCATTAGCTGAGAAAACATATTCCAATAATAATAATAATAATAATAATAATAATAATAATAATCCAATATACTATCTGTCTCGTGCCTTTAACAATTCATTTCCAAATATCAATCTCAAATTCTCAACAAGGAAGGAAATTGAAAACATTATTAAATCCCTTAAGCCCAAAAATTCACATGGATATGATGAAATCTCTACCAAATTACTTAAAGCAAGCTC